AGGATTTTAGACAGTTCTGCAATTCATTTGCATCTCAGATCATTCACTGATGAGAATAATAGTATTAACTTATTAACACTGTCAAAACCACCTTCTGCCCAGATGTTTTCACCAAATTAACTGACTTTCAACTCCAAGACCCAAGCTAACAGTGTTTTGGGTACAAGACCAATTTGTATTAATTGAAAACATTATTATAGAGGTGGTTAGGGACTTTTTAGAAAAGCTGGACGTGCACAAGTCCATGGGGCCGGACGAGTTGCATCCGAGAGTGCTGAAGGAACTGGCGGCTGTGATTGCAGAGCCATTGGCCATTATCTTTGAAAACTCGTGGCGAACCGGGGAAGTCCCGGATGACTGGAAAAAGGCTAATGTAGTGCCAATCTTTAAAAAAGGGAAGAAGGAGGATCCTGGGAACTACAGGCCAGTCAGCCTCACTTCAGTCCCTGGAAAAATCATGGAGCAGGTCCTCAAAGAATCAATCCTGAAGCACTTGCATGAGAGGAAAGTGATCAGGAACAGCCAGCATGGATTCACCAAGGGAAGGTCATGCCTGACTAATCTAATCGCCTTCTATGATGAGATTACTGGTTCTGTGGATGAAGGGAAAGCAGTGGATGTATTGTTTCTTGACTTTAGCAAAGCTTTTGACACGGTCTCCCACAGTATTCTTGTCAGCAAGTTAAGGAAGTATGGGCTGGATGAATGCACTACAAGGTGGGTAGAAAGCTGGCTAGATTGTCGGGCTCAACGGGTAGTGATCAATGGCTCCATGTCTAGTTGGCAGCCGGTATCAAGTGGTGTGCCCCAAGGGTCGGTCCTGGGGCCGGTTTTGTTCAATATCTTCATAAATGATCTGGAGGATGGTGTGGATTGCACTCTCAGCAAATTTGCGGATGATACTAAACTGGGAGGAGTGGTAGATACACTGGAGGGGAGGGATAGGATACAGAAGGACCTAGACAAATTGGAGGATTGGGCCAAAAGAAATCTGATGAGGTTCAATAAGGATAAGTGCAGGGTCCTGCACTTAGGACGGAAGAACCCAATGCACAGCTACAGACTAGGGACCGAATGGCTAGGCAGCAGTTCTGCGGAAAAGGACCTAGGGGTGACAGTGGACGAGAAGCTGGATATGAGTCAGCAGTGTGCCCTTGTTGCCAAGAAGGCCAATGGCATTTTGGGATGTATAAGTAGGGGCATAGCGAGCAGATCGAGGGACGTGATCGTTCCCCTCTATTCGACATTGGTGAGGCCTCATCTGGAGTACTGTGTCCAGTTTTGGGCCCCACACTTCAAGAAGGATGTGGATAAATTGGAGAGAGTCCAGCGAAGGGCAACAAAAATGATTAGGGGTCTGGAACATATGAGTTATGAGGAGAGGCTGAGGGAGCTGGGATTGTTTAGCCTGCAGAAGAGAAGAATGAGGGGGGATTTGATAGCTGTTTTCAACTACCTGAAAGGGGGTTCCAAAGAGGATGGCTCTAGACTGTTCTCAATGTTATCAGATGACAGAACGAGGAGTAATGGTCTCAAGTTACAGTGGGGGAGGTTTAGATTGGATATTAGGAAAAACTTTTTCACTATGAGGGTGGTGAAACACTGGAATGCGTTACCTAGGGAGGTGGTAGAATCTCCTTCCTTAGAGGTTTTTAAGGTCAGGCTTGACAAAGCCCTGGCTGGGATGATTTAACTGGGAATTGGTCCTGCTTTGAGCAGGGGGGTTGGACTAGATGACCTTCTGGGGTCCCTTCCAACCCTTATATTCTATGATTCTATGCTTATTTTTCTCTCATCACTTTTAGATTGTTAGCTGTTTAGGAGCAGTCTGTCCCACACTGACAGCCCTTCACTCATTACAGGAACTACCACAATACACGTAAAAGAGAATCTAGATCCTCATTCTTCTCGTACAGCATGAGAGGGAATTATGCCCACAGCCACCCGGAAAAGAGAACCAAGAGCCAAAGCAAAAATGCTTGTGTGATCTAAAGCCACATCAGATGTTTTTAATTGTGAATCCAGTACAATTTTTAAAAATACTACACAATACATATCAGATTAGACCACTGGCTGTTAATGTTAGCTGTTTTGGGCTTTTCAGTCCTGATTGGTTTAACAAATTAGGGCTTGTCTACACTTACTGAGGAAACGAGGAGGAGCGATCGATACAGCAGCAGTCAATTTAGCAGGTCTAGTGAAAACCTGCTAAGTCAACTGCAGGCCACTCTCCCGTCAACTCCTGTACTCCACTGGATCGAGCAGAGTAAGGGGAATCGATGGGAGATCATTTCCTGTCAACATCGCATAGTGTGGACCCTGCACTATGTAGATCTAAGCTACATCAATTTGAGTTACGCTATTCAAGTAACTCAAATTGGGTAGCTTAGATCAACTTTTCCCTTTAGTGTAGACAAGGCCTTAGGGGAAGATGGAGCTAAGTTATGCAACTTCAGCTACGTAAGTCGATGTACTTAGATCTACTTACCACAGGGTCCACACTATGCTATGTCGACAGGAGACGTTCTCCTGTCAACTCCCCTTCTGCTTCTCATTCAGGTAGAGTACAGGAGTCAACAGGAGAGTGATCTGCGGTCAATTTAGCTGGTCTTCACTAGAGCCGCTAAATCGACTGCCAATGCATCAATCGTCATTCATCAATCCCCATTCGTCAATCCCCTGGTAAGTAGAAACAAGCCCTCAGACTCTCTTGTGCTACTTTATACAGTGCTTATTATTAATATTGGTATTGCAGTAGTGTCTACTGGCCTCAACTAAGCATCAAGGTCCACTCTGCAAGGCCCTCTCCATGCAACACAGCAACAGTCCCTGCCCTAAAGAACAGACAATCTTAAGTGTTAATTGTTTCTGTAAGGCTAAATAATTAAAAGGCTAAAAATTCATTACATGTCTACTACAACACTTCACACATAAAGGTGGTTTAGACAACAGATTATCCTACCTGGTCAAAACTCTTGTTTAACTGGGTCAAAGCTATGTCATGCTTTTTCATTAGTTTCTGGTGTTCTGCCAAGCTGTCTGCTTCCTTTGTGAGTTTCTCTAGACAAAACAAAGTAGGCAAGGCATCAAATATGTGGCCATTAAAGCAATAGCTGAGCAAACGCTGTAATAATTTACATTTATTTGCAAAATAAGTTCCAGTCAAGTTTTCATACCATAAACAAGTCTGCAGAGTAAAATGCAGTGCTTCATTCTGTTTGGTGCCTTCAAACCTGACCTCAAATTGTACTCTTATAAAATCCTCCCATCTCTGTGGCAACAGTACTAAACAGAACAGCTATGGAGGAACTACTAGAGCATATTTGGCTGACAACAGAGCACACCTCCCTTCTATTACACTCTGCATAGTCCCTAACCTCTTCTAGTCTATAACTGTAGGAGAGGAAGGGTCCATTTGTGCCATGGAAAAAGTACTGTGTAGCCTGTGCCATGACAGGTTAAGCTTTGATGCAAAGTTTAAAATTCCCATATGCTGCAGGATACTTGGTACTGTTGCACTCTGCTGACTCCCACAGAGGCAGGAACTGGTTGCAAAGCTTCCCTCAGTGTTTTACTTAAACTATTGCAGCCCCTTTGGCACATGTATCTATTTGGCTTGAACCGGAAGTTACCCATGTGGTAGCTGACTCAGGCCTTGGCTACACTTGCAAGTTAGAGTATTAAATCAGCCCCAGGCGTTCTAACTTCTGAGGTGTCCACATGGGCAAGACACACAGAGCGCCTGGACTCTGCAGCTGGAGTGCTCCTGATAATCCACCTCCAGGAGAAGCATAAAGCTTACTGTGCCCCAGCTGAAATGCCCCGTGTCAGCATGGCTGACGTGTTGCATTACTGCGCTGTGATTGGCCTCCGGAAACATCCCATAATCCCCTGAAGTCAAGTGGCCACTCTTCTCATTGTTTTGAACTTGGCTGCAGGCAGGTAGATATCCCCTTTCAAAGCTCCCTTTCTGACAGCTGGCATGCTTAACTGCTCCCGGATACAAAGCAAACCATTACTGTGGAATGCTGCTACTGCAGAGGCAGGTAGATGGGTGTGTGTGAGAGAGAAAGAGAGAGAGGGGATGGGGTTTCCCCCTTCCCTCTGCCCAAACTTGCAAGACAGCATGCTGACACACTCTCTCCCCCCACATACACACTCCCTGTCGCACTCCACACCCCTGATTTAAAAAGCAGGCTGCAGCCACGTGCACGCTGGGCTAGCTACAATGCACTGCTCTTTGTGGGGTTGCAAGAGCTGCTAATGTGGCCACGCCAGTGAGGGCAGCTCTTGCTCTGCTGCAGTCTCTGAGGGCTGGTTTAACTCCCGGCCCCCTCCATCTGCCAGTATAGCCATGCCCTCAGTTCAGTCAGCCAATCTGTGCCACTGCTTCGCCCCCGGACCCTGCCCTGGCAGTCGGGCTGCAGGCGCACCGCCAAACCAACGCGGTACCCGCGTAGCTTAACCCCGCGGCTGGGGCCGCTCTGACGGGAGGGTGGCCGGGCCCTGCAGCCCCCCGCAGCGCTCCCGGGACGTCCCCTCGGTGAGCGGCCCCGCAGCCGGCGTGCCGGGGCAAGGCGCGGCGGGCCTGGCAGACAGGGGCGCTGCCCCACGCGCGGGGCTCGCCCGAGTGAGCGGAGCAGGCCGCGGCCTCCCGGGAACGACCTAGGGACCCCCGGGACCGGAGGCCGCGCCTCGCCGGGCGCATGAACCTGCCGCCCGTTACCTAGCGCGGCCGCCATGCGCCCGTACGCCGCGTCCGAGGCGGGACCCTGCGGCGCGCGCGCAGCCATGCTCAGCCTTTGCCGGCGCTGCGCCCAGCGCAACCGTCGGAGAATTGGCTGAATTGAGTCGCGCGCGCGCCTTCCCGCCAGCGCCCTACGAGACTCGTTCCCTCGCCCGCCGTCAGGTGACCCAGCGCGACTCATGTGACCTGCCCCCTCCTAGAGCGGCGCTGAGGTTGCTGTCACGTGAGCGGGTTGGGCCGTTTGGTCTGTGGCTCGCGTGGCTGCTCCCCTTTCTCCTTCCCTCCGCCCCTTGATCCTCCCTCCTCTCCACGGAGATGAGCGCGCGCACGCCCAGGCCCCGGGGCAGGCAGGGTCTCGGGGCTGCTGCGGGCAGCGATGGGAGAAGGCGGGGACTCCAGCGCCCGGGGCTCCGAGCAGCTCCGGCTGGAGCTGGGGCAGGAGAAGCAGATGAAGTGAGTTCCCTTCCCAGAGCGGTGGGGAAAAGGGCCGTGCTCGGTGTCTGCAGCCGTGCACGGGAGTCAGCGTGGGCCGTGCAGGGAAAGGCTCCCGGCGCGCTACGGAGGAGGTTGAGACTAGGGCCTGCCTGGCATAAGATTTCCTAGTGCTCTCCGTTATAACACCCTGCTGTCAGGTGCTTATAGCTATGCTATCCCTTGGGCACGGGGGCTGAACTTCTCCAGGCTGGTGTCTGCCTGGGGCTGAGTTGCTTTGGGAAAAGAGGAGCTCCAGCTGTTTCAGAGAATGAGGCTAAGGAAATATGTTTTCTCTTGCTGCAGTGTTCTCACAACCTTTTCTTTGAGATGCTCTAGCGCAGTGGTTCCCAAACTGGGGTTCACGAACCCCTGGGGGTTCGCCAGATAAATTTCACTAATGGCGGCCAGAGGACCCAGGCATTGGAGGCAGCAGGTGGGACTGGTTGCAGGGCAGACAGTCCGAGCCCCAGGGAGAGCGGGGCACGGCAGTTGGGGCTGGCAGCCCAAGCCCTGCCCCCATCAGCGGGGGAGCCAGCCACCCAAACCCTAGCGCTCTGCGTGGGGCTGGCAGCCTGAGCCCCAGGGAGAGCGGGGCTGGGCAGTTTGGGCTGACAGCCTGAGCCCTGTCCCTGTCAGCAGGGGAGCCGGCCTCCCGAACCCCAGTGCTCTGCCCAGGGCTGGCAGCCCGAGCCCGGGTGGTCAGCAAGACCTGCAACCCAAGCTCAGTGGAGCTCAGTTGACCGGGGCGGTCAACGGGGTCCAGCAGCAGGAGCCTCACGGAGTGCGGAGGAAATTTAAACTTAAATCCCTGGAAATATTCATTTTTAGGAGGGGATTCACGAGATTTCACAATTTAGTGAAAGGGGTTCGTGGGCTGTTAAAGGAGAGGTGAAACTAAGATTTGCTGGGCAAGGAGACTAAAAGGGGGATGAGAAGTCTGAGGAGAGGAGACTGAATGTCTAGTTGAGGCAAATGGGAGTGGGACAAGAAGCCATGGGTGAGGAAGAGACAGTACACATTGAAGGGCCTGGGGCAGAAAGAGTCAAGCTTGAGGAAAATGGACAGATGACTCTGTGCTCACTAGAACACACTCCCCTCCAGAGTCTGGAATGGAACCCCAGATTCCTGAGTCTCACCATCCTTCTGCTGTCAGCAAATATTACTCCTGAGGGAATTGTGTGCCACTGCGCACGTGCAGACTTCTTGCTGGATGCAGAATTATTTATTGTGCAGAAAATATATTCTGTGCAAGAAGTGCTGCAGTTCTGCCTCTCACCCACCAGAGGCCACTGTGGTGCCAGAACAGCCTGCTGCCTGGCACTAACAGCTAGCAGCAGGCTGCTTTTGTCAGAGCTGCCAGCCAGCTGATGGAGCCAGGTTAGGAGGCACAGTGGGGCACACCAGGCTGCTGGGGGGTGTCACAGACTGGGGCATGGGCTCAGGAGTTAGTCATTGAGCCAGTGTCTGAATGGGAAGAGAGCTCTGGGTCACATGGGGATGCGGGGGTTAGGGGGGCTACAGGGACATATAGGGATGGGGGGGGGGTGCAGGGACACACAGGGTTGGGGGCAGATGTACCTGATTGAATGGGAGAAGTTAGGGGTCAGTCAGGGCCTGTATGGAGGAAGCTCGCCAGCTCCCTAACAATCCCCTCCTCTCCCTCCCCCCCACCCCCCAAGAAACTGTTCCATACTTCTCCCACCCACACAAGTAACTCTCCAGGTTCCTTTACTCTCCCTCAGCTCCTCCGTTACCCCTGGCTCCCCCAAGCCTTTGCACTGCTTCTGAGGGATGCAGGAAATACATTTCTGAGTTGTAGTTTAAATGAATTACTCCAAGTTCTATATTAATATGCCTAGTAAGGAATCCATTTGTCCAAAAACAAAAAAACCCTGAATCTTTTTATTTGTCTATATTGTGAGACATACTTGCTGAGAATATTTTGAAATAAATTACCAAAATAATTGAGACTGGTATTATCATACTGTGGTGTTTTGACAAATAAAATATGCAGAATCTTGCAGAATTTTATAATTTTGTGTGCATAACTTTTAATTTTTTGGCATAGAATTTTATTTTTTTGTGCAGAATTCCGCCCAGGAGTAAAATATCTCTGAAACCCTTTTGGGGTAGGAGCAGCAGTTGTCAGATACCCTCCTAATCTTCTTTCTTCTAACCCTGCCCTCTCATGCATTTATCTCAACTCTTTCCATCCTCCTCATCCCTTCCTTGCAGTATGTTAGCTCTCTGACTTTCTCTCTTCCTGTTGGTGTCTTCCCTTCAAACCAACAACTGTTTTGTTACCCTCCTGACCCTGTGCCCCTCCTCCCAAATCTGAAGTTCATGGGGGCAAAGAATGACTGGAAAAAGGAGTAAATTATGACTTCCCTCCACTCACCCCTTCCCACTGGAGACTTCCAACCTCCCTGGGTTATCTGGCCCAACCTCCTCTTGGACTGGGGCTTCCTTTGAAACTCCTGGCATTTGCAGGCTCCAGCTTCCCCACAACTGGTGCCTTCCCTGTCTCTTGCCTCATATGTCAATTCTTCAGTTTCCAATCCCTTGTTTGCCTTCCTGCTCCTCTGAGCATTGATTTGGCTGTTTAGGTGCTGTCATTTTACTGAAAACTGGTGTCATTTCAGATTTAAACACCTGAAATAATCAAATTTATTATTTTTAAAATCCTGTGACTCTGAAATTGACCAAAATGGACTGTGAATTTGGTAGGGCCCTAGTTATATACGATTTCAAACTCTGGGTTTACCTACTAGTTATTATATACTTTGACAGTTAGTTTCTGAATGAAATCTAAGTTTTTGTCATAATATGTGGCCAAAAAGTTCTAGGAGAATGATTTAGTCTCTAAGCAGTGAGTTCTGAGTTAAACTGAGATCAAAATTTCCAATAGCACTTTTCTCAGGTGTACTCTTATGTATCAAGAACTAAGATAATAATTTGTTCATTAGCGTAACATACCATGTCTTGCCAGACAAATATTGAAATCTAGAGATAGTATATGTTATCTTCATATGAAAATGTCTCCAATCACAAAATTTCAGAAATGCCTCTATATTTCTAAAGCACTGTAGCAACCCTGGAGAAATAGTATTGTAATGCTGGGACACTGGACAGAGTGGGCTGGTGCTCTGAGGTGGTACTGAGAATTCTCTTTGAGATGCATGGCTAGCGGATCTTGCTTACATGTTCAGAGTCATACTAATCACCATTTTGGGGATCAGGAAGGAATTTTCCCCCCAAGTTAGATTGGCAGGGACCTCAGGATTTTTGGTTTGGTTTGGGGGCTTTTGTTTTTCATCTTTCTCTGCAGCATGAGTCTAGCTCCCTTGCTAGGATCATCTAGGTATATCTCAGCAAATCCTTTCCCTGCCATTGCAGGAGCCTCTGGCATTTGTGCATCTCAGTCCCTCCTGTTCCTTGCCTGTGGCACACAGTAGTTTAGTCTTCTGAGGGCTGTAATATTTTAGTGTAATCCAGTTTACTGGACCTACTACAGGGGCAATTGGGTAGGGTTTAGTAGCCTATATGCAGGAGGTCAAACTAGATGATCCAGTGGTCCCTTCTGGCCTCAATCTCTCCAATGTACATAATGGAATATAAGCACAAGGACACTTCATCTGTACATAAAATTCAAGTTAGATTTTGTTGTTCGTAAGAAAATTAATTATATAACCATTTAATTAACTTCTCTATCACAGGGAAATGCTTGAACTCTCAATATTTGAATTGAGAAACACACTAACAGAACTTGAAAGAAGACTTGGCAGTGTTGAGGATGAAGGTAAGTAGATAATAATTAATCTTGGCAGGATTCGATTTTAATCGAAAACTGTCGGTAAATGTGTGCAGGCAGCAGCACAGACGTAAGGGTGGCAATGCCATGCCGTGCCGTCCTGACTTCTGTGCTGCTGCCGGCAGTGGCTCTGTCTTCAGAGCTGAGCTGCCGGCCAGCAGCCGCCGCTCTCGAGCTGCCCGCCGCCGAAGGCAGCGCCGCCAGCAGCAGCAGGACCACCGCAACCCCTACAGTACAGTCCCCCTACAGTAACCTTGTGGCACCCGCCCCACACAACTCCCTTTGGGGTCAGGACCCCTACAGTTACAACACTGACTGGAGTGAGTGAGTGAGTGAGTGGGTCCCTGACAGCGCAGCTGCGGAGAGCTCCCTGCACTGCCTCAGGGCAGAGACACCTGGTCCCTGAATGCTGGGGGGGGGCTGTGGCCCTGGCAGGGCAGACAGAGACTCCTGCTAGGATGGCATGGAGGAGGAAGAGGACAAGCTCCCCGCTGCAGGGCTGACTGCCATTTGCTGAATGTCTCTGCACTCACCAGCTGGGAGTGCCAGGGGTCTCTGCTTTGCCGTGCCAGGACTGCAGCCTTCCCCACATCTTGTGCCTGCAGGGATCAGGTGGCACTGGCCCAGCGGTTGTGTAGGGAGCTCTCTGCAGCTCCACTGTAATTGGACTGGGGCTGTGACAGCAGAGGTCTCCCTGCATGGCCATGGGGCCTGTGACACCCAATTCCTGCAGGCACATGGTATCGGGGAGATTGTGGTTCTGGTCCAGCAGAGCAGAGACCCCTGGCTGAGACTGCAAGGAGGAGGAGAGGAGACTTTGTCATCCCTGCTGCTGAATGGTTCTCTCTGGGCAGGAACCATTCAGCAGTGGGTTGGCCTTTCTGCAGCCAGGGACTTGTCATCCTCACGACCCTGGCCTGGGCTCTCTGCTCTTCCTCTCCAGGACCACAGCCTACTCTGCACTTTTTGCCTGCAGGAATCTAGTGTCACTGGCTATGCAAGGGAGTTCTCTGCAGTCATGTTCCAACTCGCTTGCTCTCCAGCACAGAACTGTTTTTACAGTATGTACAGATATACACTTTAACAATGAGAGTAATTAACCACTGGAACAATTTACCAAGGGTCATGGTGGATTCGCCATCACAGACAATTTTCAAATCAAGACTAGATTTTTTTCTAAAAGATGTTCTAGGAATTATTTTGGGGAAATTCTATGGCCTGTGCTATACAGGAGGTCAGACTAGATCAGCATTTTTCAAACTGGGGTCCATGGATCTCTGGGGGTCCCTAGGGGTACTCCAGGAGGTCTGTGGGCCCCACTGATCAACCCCTTCCCTCAACTCTTCCCCCTCCCTCTATCTCCAGGAGGCTACTGAAGCCAAACTGGGAGATTTTAGGCACTAAAGGTCCAGCAGGGCTAAGGCAGGCTCCCTACCTGCCCTTGCTCTGCACTGTTCCTGAAAGTAGCTGGCCTGTCCCTGTGGCCCCTGGGGGGGGGCACGGGGCGGTCTCCGTGCGCTGCCCCCACCCCGAATGCCGACTCATAGCTCCCATTGGCCAGGAACTGTGGCCAATGGGAGCTATGGGGGCAGTGCCTGGAGACTCCCTGCCCACCCCCTGCTCCCCCCACCCCCCCCAAGAGCCGCTGCCAGAGAGATGTGGGAGTCGCTTTTGGGAGCCTCCCGTGGTAAGTGCTATCTGGCTGGAGCACTCACCCACTCCTGTGCCCCAACATCCTGCCCCCGCCCAGAGCCCGCACCCTAACCCCCTGCCTCAGCCTGGTGAAAGTGAGTGAGAGTGGAGGAGGAGGGGATGGAGTGAGCTGGGGGAGGGAAAAGGTAGGGAGGGGTGGGGCTTCGCGGGAAGGAGTGGATTGGGGGCAGGGTCTGGGGCTGAGTTGGGGGGCTTTGGGGATCCCTGAAAAAATTTAAATCAGAATGGGGATCCTCGGGTTGCTGAAGTTTGAGAATCGCTGGACTAGATGATCACAATAGTCCCTTTTGGTCTTGGAATCTATGAATCTTGAAGACGTAAAATAAAGTCATAATAAAGACTACAAAAGTACATTAGCCATGTATTTTGTATTTTTCACATATCAATGAAAAATGTAAAAAACTTAAGTTTTAGTTACTGGATGGAATCCTGGCCTCACTGGGTATGTCTACACTGCAGTGTAAGACTGTGCTTGACCCCATACCCTTGTGTCTACACTGCAATTGTGCTAACAAAGGGCGTAGACCCAAGGTTTCAGGACCCTGCAGGGCAATCAGGTCCAAGCTCAAGTCAAGCTGGGACCCAGGGTCCAAGCCTTATTGCTTTGCAGTGTAGCCACAACTCCATTTGACTCAAGTCCACAGAGTCATCTGGAAGTATCCCACAATTCCATGGGACAACTTCCTTAGTCCTCTCTATCCCAACAATCTGCAGTCTACTCTTTTGAAAACAGACACGCTTTTCTCCCTGGGAAACGGCAGCAGCTCAGGTCAGCGTTAACCCATTCTGTTCTGATCGCTGATCTGCAAACATACTATCAGAAAGCTTCCCCTGCGTTTGCAATGGAGAGCAAATCGATCAAGCCTTTTGGAAAGTGAGCTGCTTCCTACTAATGTGCAGAGCAGGCAATAAAGTTTTCCCACAGTGCACCATGTTTCTAGAGCTAGAGCAGATCTCATTTCAGAGGGCAGGGGGCGAGCTAGGGATTCTGGGATATGGTTACTGTGACTTGGGTCTGCGCACTGACTGTAGTGTGGACGCCAGAGCCATTCAAGCACATACGTTCAAGCACAGGTCATGACTTTCTTTCTTTAGGGTTAAAATACAATGTAGATGCTCAAGCCCAGGGGGTCCTGAACATGGGTCAGCTGACTCGAGTCCCACTAATCCTGGTTTACATTGCAGTGTAGATGTATCCACAGAAGTAAATGGCAAAACTCCCATTGACTTCCGGGAGGCAGTATTTCACCTAGTATCTTTTTCAAGTTCCCTTGTTTGTAAATGGACACTTTCTTGGTTGCACAGTTGTGGGGTGCAAGGCTCCAAAAGGAGGTGGAGTCATTCTGAAAAAGGCAATTTCTAATTCTAGTGGTATGAATTAAATTTTGGAAATAAATATAGTAACATTGTGTTTCTTTGGAGGTAATGAATGGAAAACCAGATATGAGACACAAGTAGAACTGAACAGACAACTAGAAAGGCAAACTGGTCGTCTTCAAGAAAAGATGGAACATATTCATGGAAATCCAACAGGTAGAAGTGGGCATTCATAGATATTTTTCTCTAGTATTCATAAAATTATATATTAATATATCAAGGTATCACACATTTTGCTTATTTACAGATAGATTGTCTTCTATTCGCTCCTTTGATCAAATGCCCGTGGTGAGTACATTGGCATTTAATTGCATAAGCATCTAACAGTTCATTGTAGCTAAGGAAATTATTAAATAATTTCAGCCATTTGCAGCCCAGAAAAAAATCAGTGACCCTTTCCAGAAGCCACAACAATCAACCCATTTATTTTTTCATTGTTTCACCTCTGCAATTGTTTATAAACTTGTAAGACATATAGTAAAACAAGTAGATAGGGGATACATAAAACATGAATCCTGGGAAAAATAATCTTACATATTACAGTGGGGGTTTTTATTTAATAAAGACTGCATGATTGGGTGCTAAATCATGAGTTATACTGAGGTGGAGTACCTGGACAGTTTCAATTAATAATTTATATAATGTATATTCTCGATGAATTTAGTACTATTACAAATACATTGTAAACAACATATTTATGGGGAAATCCTCATTGTAGAATAAATGTTACATCTGTAAAATACAAAATGGTTTAAGCATTTTCATTCCTTTAACTTCACTTCCTCCAAAGCCATGCAGACTTCACATTCACCCAAAGCCCGAAAAATTGCCCAGGGTGAATGAAGCTGGTTAGGGAATGGCACTTGGAAACCACAGAGACCTTCACCCAAAATGTGGGTGCACAAGGGGGCAGAGTGAAAACAAAGTTTAATTCTGGATTTTTCTTTTGTTTTTTAACCTCAAGCTCCAGATACTCTTACTTTAAGGCCCTTTACTCCTCCCATTCTGTTGTCTGCCAGGGAACAAACAAATAGAGAATCCATGTAATATAGGCAGAAGTAATATAAGGTCGGGCAGTGTGACTCTGTGAAATGTTCCTTCCAGCTTGGGAGCTTACGGAAGCCCTCTGATTGAACTCTGAGTGGTTCAGGCTTTCCAGATTGGGTGGAAGGAGGTTGAGCCAGGAAGTAGCTGCATTGTATATAAGCTTTCTTCCCAACCCAGTGCATTTCCAAATGGAAGTGTGTGTTTTGGAATTAATACTGCTCCAAACACAATTAAATTCCCTCTATAGCTCTGACCCCCTCAGATGGAGGTTTGTGCACATCTATGATGAAGGAAACCAATAACAGCACAATTTCTAAGGGATCTGTTCTGACAGAAGGGAGAGGAGGAATCAGGAAAGGAGCGTAGAGGGGCCTAGACTTTTTCACTGGTATCTAGGAAACTTCTGGGTTCCCAGGGCACACCCCTGCCCTGTCCATGAGGCCTCCCTCACCCTTATTCTGCAGGAACTGCAGGTGTTCAGGCTTGCAGATTTAGCCAAACCTTTTTCTGCTCCTGTGAGTTTCTCTGTGGGAAAAAGGAAATATTTAGCCCTTTGAGGATTAGAATGAGAAACTGACATTTCTTGGTGGACAGGAGCAGGGAAGTCAGCAGCTAGCCATCACCCTACTTATGTTCAGTGTTTTTAATGTTATTTATTAAAACTTCAAAGTCCCAAACTTGCCATTATATATGAGAGCCTATGAAGACATCCATATGATGTTTTATTTAAATATGTTCTAGTTCAAGCAGAAATTAATTCAGGGAAGTCTTATGGCCTGTGTTATACAAGGTCAGAGTAGATGATCAGAGTAGTCTCTTCTGGCCTTGTTAGCTAAATAACGCTTCCAGTAGATATCATATCATTTCTACAGTGTCCCAATATTAGATAATGGATTCCTTTCTGAGGAACATTGTAGAAAGATAAAGTCTATTAGGTCTTGTCATCTTTATATTGTTTTTAAAACACCTTCAGGAGTTTAAGAATTTATGGGATTGAAAGACTGTTAAATCTAAAAAGTTAGGTACTTGTTTGAGAACTCTTTTTTGACTAGAGAAGATGGAATGAATACAAACAAATTACATTTGTTTCATATTATTTTTTATTTATTTGTATGCAGTAGCACTTATGAGCCCCATTGTGCTAGTCCTGTACAAACACAGACCAAGAAGACCCAAAGAGCAAATTGATGTAAATAATTATAAGCAAATATTGTGTATATGTTTGCCAGACACCCACAACACATTGTCTGGCAAAAGTCTACTTTCTCCACATTCCACTCTTTACTTTTAAAAGCTAAAGGTCTTGTTTTTGAGCACCAACAGGGTAATGACAAAAATAGGCACTCAGGTACCATGGCAATGAACAAGTTATAAGAATCTAAATAGAATGGAATAGTTTACACCAAGGCAAACTCTTGGATGGTGGATAAGGAAGCACACTGGATTTTCCGTACCCAGAAATTGAAATAATTGCTTTCAAGTGTCAATACCATTGGCTGTATGGACCTGGAATTTTGCTGAGGAATTTTTCCTTGCTTTGGAAAATGTGTAGTTCATTCATGTTTAAACACACAGGTATTATTTTGATGATCTCATTTTGAAATCCTCTGTTTTTTCGTTTGTTTCCAAAAGTGATGGTGTTGTCATCCCCTTCAAACAGCACAATAATATGAAACCAATAATACAAACATTTTCTTCTTTATAAGTGGAGATTAGAAAATCATTTCTGCATGTTGAGGTTGGATATTGAAAAGCTCTGAAATAGGAGCAGCACAAAGAACTTCTGTTTGTCATAACTTCCTTTGTGCCCCAGTGAATAATGCACAAGCTATACTGAAATTCAGAAATAATTATGAAGAAATTGAAATGCAGTCCCTTTGAAACCTAGCCCAATGCGAATTTTACTTCCTCTTGTTAGATAAACCAGTTAGCATTTGTTCACTTCTTTTTCGTTAAGCAATATTATGTGAAATATACATAGGCTGTCTCCTAAATATCATTTCCCATGTTAGGAGAGAGAAATCTTCATCTTTTTTTCCTCTCCTTATAGTTACTGCAAGAAAGCCTCCCTAGACAGAGGCTTTATTATGCAAATAGAGGAAGGCATACTGCAGAATCAGTTCAGAAGAACACACTTCAGATAGCATTGCCTTAGCAACGCTCTAGTTAAGATTAGCTGCAGAACCAGGGTTTCTGTTATAAATCACTGTATTCAGCGTTGTCCATCATTGTGATTGAGGAAATTCTGAAATTATTGTTCAGGCATTTGCTTTGCAAAACTGTATTATAGTAAAAACGCTGGATACATACCTTAGCCACACATAGGCCATCCCTGTGCCTTACTGGGGTTCTGCAATTGATATTACATTACTAGCAAAGTGTGTGTGATGGTGTCACGTTGGAGAAAAAGCTGAAGACACAGACTGGGTATCTGGATCCTAAGAAGACGTATGTGAGAATTGTTGTGCAGTGATGTGTTGAAGGCTTCTCTGAGCCTTTGTGTCGGGGACATCAGGACTTTGCCAAGGTGGAGGAAATTTTGACAGTTCCCTTAGTGGGTCACCTTTAACTGAACTTCACTGACCTTGTTTGCTTAAGTCTCAAATAGGGCTGAGTGAAAAATGTGTCTGAGTTTCCTTCTCTTTGCAAACTTCAATACTAACTTGGAAAAGGGTCTGCAAAGGGCCCTGAGATGTCCCTGTTACAGTTTAGGAAGGCAGCAAGCTGGTCCCTGGTATCAAAAAGGTTGAGAAATACTGCTCTGGACCTCTTCAACATACCTTGTGTGTCCAGGAGACCCCTGTTGACCTCGCTTCCCCTGCCTCATTGCCATCCTGGTATAGGATGTTCTTCCTCTGATATCTTCGGTCACAGCAGGTGGTCACTTTCTTTAATTCTTTATATGGTCTTCAGTGGGGCAGGAAACACCTGCTTTTTCTCAGCAGGGCAATAGGAGCTGAGGAAAATCCTGCTACCAGCCCTCTTTATAGCCATACAACTGGGGATTATATGTCTTCTGTTCCCTAGCTTGTGGCTGGTTAGAAACCCTGGTGGTTCCCTAGCACCGCCTGGATTGGCTTGGGAAAGAGGGTGCTCCTTGGAACTTGATGTTCATGTAGAACCTGAACCAATCTGTGCTGACCCCTAAGCCAAACAAACTGACCCCAGCAGAGTTCATGCAGCCTGTCATAATCTTCATATTATTTTTTAATATAGCTTTAATGTGAATTATTATATTAGCCACAAGGGGGCACTTGGTATTTAAATATGCATAGCCCTCCTGGGTTCAGTTGTACTGAAGCCTTTAGTGTTCCGTGCACAAAACCTCATATGTACAGTATACGCAGAAACATGCTTTGCTAAAGAACTTTATTTCATTTTGTCACAGTAATTATTACAGTATGAAATTAGTGACAGTTTATCAATAGAGCTAAAAATGGAGTTCAATTTCAGTAACATGAAAGATGCAGCATTACTTTTTGAACTAGGTTTTAGATTTAATTACTTCAGCTGATAGACATACCTCCTGGTGTTGGAAGGAAAAGAGTTTATTTTCCGGGTGAAACTGCATGTGATTTCAAATGTCAAGTAGAATAGATTGTAGAGGCTTCATGATTTTCTTTACATGCCAAACAAATGTATTGCTTATGTGGCTACCTGATAGAAGAAAATTGAAGAGGATTAGGGCTGGAGTGAATTGCTGGATCATTAGACAGCTCAAGTCAGTCTGGTGAAAGTAAGTTGGCTACGTTGACGATGTCTCCTTTTTGTCACCGTGGATATGGAGGAGTGATTGATGGAAATTGTCATCTGCATTCCTAGTGGCAGCAATATACTGAAAAATCCACTATGAAAACGGCTTATGTGGGTGGTTTTAAAATCCAACTGCAATATAAATCTGCATAATTTCATTTGCTGGCAGTTGTTAAGTCAACCACATACTTTGGAGGGAATAAAAAAAGAAAAAGTGTGGGGATAAATGCAGAAAAGATTAATTGGGGGGGGGGGGTTTCCCTTTACTGTGAAGCTTTGGATATTGGTCACTGCTGGAAACTAAACTTGATGGATCATTGGGCTAATAACATATTTGCTAGTGAAGAATTCAGTTATGTAAAGAAGTCTCTCAAGGTATTATTTTAAAATTGCAGTATGTCTTTTAGCCCATCAGCTCACTCAGAGTGACTTGACGCAGGCAGTTTAATGAAAACTAAGAATCTTAAATCCTTTAGTCATCTTATGTCTCCTTTCCAGGAATACGTTGTCCAGCTAGTCAGGGTTTAGCAGAAGAGGCTGTTGTTAAACCTTAACTTACAAGAATGACAATATTTAATTAAACCAATTTCAGCAATAAAGTTATCCTGACTTTTTCAGGGTTTAGGTCAGAATTTATCCCACCTCCTCAATCTTGGGGCTTGGTAGCAGCATATTCTCACAGGTCAGTGCTGGATAAAGGAGGGAGATAATGGTCTGGAGGTCACCCTGGTGCACCCCCTGCAGTCAGTGATGACACCAGGTGAGCCCCTGCCTCAGTTTCCTTTTTTGGGCTATCAATAAGTTCAGTAAGGTCCGCATATAGTGAACGTTGCCCCTTCAGGAGTCCAGTTTATTTAACCAAAGTCTGAACATAGTATGCAAATTAATATAAGAATAGCCACACTGGGTTGGACTAATGGTTCATCTAGCCCAATATCCTACCTTACGACAGTGGCCTATGCCAGATGCTTCAGAGGGAATAAACAGAACAGCGCAATTATCAAGTGATCCATCCCCTGTTGTCCAGTCCCAGTTTCTCACAGTCAGAGGCTTAGGTACACCTACAGCATGGGATTGCTTACCTTACCATCTTGGCTAATAGCCACTGATGGACCTAACCCCCATGAACTTACCTAATTATTTTTTGAACCCAATTATAGTTTTGGTCTTCACTCCCCTGGCAGTGAGTTCCACAGGTTGACTGTTCATTGTGTGAAGAAGTACTTCTTTGTTTTGTTTTAAACCTGCTGCCTATTAATTTCATTGGGTGACAGATGTTTCTTGTGTTATGTGAAGGGGTAAATAACATTTCCTTATTCACTTTCTCTACACCATCATGATTGTATAGCTATCTCTCGTATGCCCCCTTAGTCATGTCTTTTCTAAGATGAACAGTCCCGGTCTTTTTAATCTCTCCTCATATGGAAGCTGTTCTATATCCTTAATCATGGTTTTGCCCTTCTCTGTACCTCTTACATTTACAATATATCTTTTTTTTGAGATGGGGCAACCAGAAATACACGGAGTATTCAAGATGTGGGCTTACTATGGTTTTATATAGTAGCATTATGATATTTTGTCTTATTATCTATACCTTTCCTAATGGTTCCTAACATTCTGTTAACTTTTTTGACTGCTGTTGCACATTGAGCAAATGTTTTCAGAGTACTATCCCACAATAACCCCAAGATCTCTTTCTTGAGTGGTAACAGCTAATTAGACCACATCCTTTTGTATGTATAGTTGGGATTATGTTTTCCAATGTGCTGTACTTTGCATTCAACAATATTGAACTTCATCTGTCATTTTGTCATCCAGTCACCCTTTTGTCATCAAAGTTTTATGAGATCCCTTTGTAACTCTTCGCAGTCTACTATAGACTTAACTATCTTGAGTAGTTTTGTATCATCTGAAAAGTTTACCATCTCACTATTTACCCCTTTTTTCCAGTCATTTCTGAATGTGTTGAACAGCACTGCTCCCAGCTCCCAAATGGCACCCCAGGTGAGCTGAGTCTTCGGTGCCCGCCCCCTTCCATTTGTTAAACTTCTGAATACCTTATTTTTATTGCATTTGTAGTCCATTTCACGACTTTGATGCATGATTTGCATGCATGATTTATCCCTGTCATATAAGATAATAAATTTGCACGCTAGGATCTGTAAATCTGTATTTATTCATGCCATATATAAGCAGATAAAAAAATTAGTTTCATCTAAACATATCGGAACTTTAATTTTAAGAATAACTGAAACGTACTAACATCAAAAAATTGAACTGTGCACCAACATTGGGTGGACCAGCATTAAATAGTGTTACAGTAGATGACAGCCTTAGAATGTCAACCCTAGTCCTTTAGTTCAAAAGATTGAGGGCAAAGGCAAGAAAAACAATCACCATTCCAGGGGACATGCATCCATGCTGATGACAGGTTCTGCTTGATAACAATCCAAACCAGTGCGGACGGACGCATGTTCATTTTCATTAGCTGAGTCAGATGCCACCAGCAGAAGCTTGATTTTCTTTTTTGGTGAATTTCGGCCCTGGAGTGTTGCTCTTTTAAGACTTCTGAAAGCATGCTCCACACCTTGTCCCTCTCAGATTTCGGAAGGTACTTCAGATTCTTAAACCTTGGATCAAGTGCTGAAACTATCTTTAGAAATCTCACATTGGTAGGTACCTTCTTTGCCTTTTGTCAAATCTGCAGTGAAAGTGTTCTTAAAATGAACATGTGCTGGGTCATCATCCAAGATTGCTATAACATGAAATAAATGGCAGAATGTGGGTAAAACAGAGCAGGGCAGGGACATACCATTCTCCCCCGAGGAGTTCAGTCACAAATTTAATTAACACTTTTTTTTAATGAGCGTTGTCAGCATGGAAACATGTCCTCCGTAATGATGGCCGAAGCATTAAGGGGCATATGAATGTTTAGCATATCTGGCATATAAATACCTTGCAATACCAGCTACAAAAGTGCCATGCAAATGCCTGTTCTCACGTTCTGGTGACACTGTAAATAAGAAGAGGGCAGAATTATCTCCTGTAAATGTAAACAAACTTGTTTGTCTGAGCAATTGGCTGAACAAGAGGTAGGATTGAGTGGACTTGCAGGCTCTAAAATTTTACATTGGTTTATTATTAATGCAGGGAGGTTTTGTACATAATTCTACATTTGTAAGTTCAACTTTCATGATAAAGAGTGCACTACAGTACTTGTATTAGGTGAATTGAAAAATACTGTTCCTTTTTAACAGCGCAAATACTAGTAATCAAAAATAAATATAAAGTGAGCACTGTACACTTTGTATTCTGTGTTGTAATTGAAATCAATATATTTGAAAGTGTAGAAAACATCCAAAAATATTTAAATAAATGGTATTCTATTATTGTTTAACAGTGCGATTAATTTTTTATATCACTTGACAGCCTTACTTAATATTATTTAATTTATCAGTTTGTTCCAAAACCTCCTATATTGACACCTCAGTCTGGGACAGTTCCTCAAATTTGTACCTCGGGTGGCTCATGTGTGGGAATCTCCCGCAGATCCTTGGCAGCGAAGAACAATAAAAATAATTAACTGAGCATCTCTACAATGGCCTTGTCTTCCTTGAGTGCTCTTTTGATTTCGCACCTTGATCATCCAGTGGCCCCACTGATTGTGGGGCAGACTTCCTGCTTCTGATGTACTTAAATTTTTGCGGTTAGTTTGAGTCTTTTGTTAGTTGCTCTTCGAATTCTTTTTTGGTCTGCCTAATTATATTTTTACACTTGACAGTTTATGCTCCTTTCTATTTTCCTCAGTAGGATTTGACTTCCAGTTTTTAAAGGATGCCTTTTTACCTCTAACCACTTCTTTTATTCAGTTGGTTAGCCATGATGGCATTTTTTTGGTTCTCTTAATATTATTTTTAATCTGGGATATACGTTTAATTTGAACCAGCATTATGGTGTTTTTTTAAAGTTTCTATGCAACTTGCGGCATTTCACTTTTGGGACTGTTCCTTTTAATTTCCGTGTAATTAACTTTTTGATTTTCTTTTGTTCCCTTATCTGAAGTAAAATACTACTGTGGTGGGCTTCTTTGGTATTTCCCTCCTCCCTCCACCAGGATGTTAAATTTAATTACATTATAGTCGCTATTACCAAGCAGTTCAGTTATATTCCCCTCTTGGACCAGATCCTGTGTTCCCTTTAAGACTAAATCAAGAAATGCCTCTCCCCTTATGGGTTCCAGGCCTACCTGCTCCAAGAAGCAGTCATTAATAGTCAAATTAGCCTTCACTCCAGTGTTCTAGCAAGCTAATCTTAGTTAGCCCCTCACTGAAGGCCCTCCATCCAGACTCTTCACCAGTAAGGCCCTCTTAGGTCAGGAACCTCCTCAGGACTCAGCCCTCCGGGCATTACCTGGGTTCTCTCTCTGGACTCACAGCCCCTGGATAGGTCAAACTACTCCAGCTCTTCAGTGGAGCAGCATGTATTTCCCCAGTGACCTAGACCTTTGGCCGCTGTCTGGTAAGATCCTTTTGCTGGAATCAAGCCTGTCTATGGCTTTGCTCCTTGGGGATCCTGATTCCTTCAGGAACACCTTTCCTAGTTCTTGTCTGGCGAGTTCTCTAATCAGCTCCCCTGAGAAGTACTCCTGTTCTGGGGCCTAGTAACTGAGTCCTTATAAGCCTTTATTTAGCCCTGGTGCTCCTTACCTAATTAGCTGCCACCTAGGTACTTAAGCAATTAACTATCCACAGGTGGATCTGGGTTATTTTATTCTCCTTAGTGGAGTCTGTCACAGGTAGGCTGCGTTTCTGTCCCCTTCAGAGGGCTAGCTCTTCTGTGAGCTCTTGCTAGTCCTTGTTTCTTGCTGAGACTTCTCTACGCAGCCTGGTCTATGCTGTGTGTCTGTGTTCTTTGAGCTGTTTCACTTCTTTGTGCAGAAAGCTGCTCACATTGCTGTAAGCCTCTTGAGTTACATCTATTTCAATCCAACAAAATGGTTTTTTACCCATGAAAGTTTATGCCCAAATAAATCTGTTAGTCTTTAAGGTGCCACCAGACTCTCTTGTTTTTGTGGATACAGACTAACATGGCTATCCCCTGATATTTGACATCTGTTTCAATGAGTTTTTATCCCCTCCTTTCTCAGAGAGTTAATTGAAGGTGAACACACCCCTGAGGGGTTTAGCTGGATTCAGCTTGGCTGGATTCTTGCTTTATGCAGCTATACTTGTGGCTAGATGCACCATAGATAAGGTCTCAGTTGCTTCTTCAGTTACTCCTTATGTAGTAGGAGTTGAAGGTAACTTATGATCTACCCTAGCAGAGTTAGCTCTTAGGATATCTTCGAAGTTTTACTGGTTTAAATTTTATTCAGTCCATTTTCTGAAACATTATTTAATCTCTTCCAGTGTTTGAATATCTAGAGAGGTTTTTCACATAAGTAAACACATGTGTAGTCTATATTGGTTCCCTGCCTCCCGAAGTATGTGCTCAAGAAGGAAGAGCTCTGCAGCAGAGCTTGCCTCATTCAGTGTTCATTGTGTGCAGGACATAAGTGTTTTGTCTAGCAAATAGTTCCTTATTATGGGAGGAGAATGATCCTTCAGGGACTTTAACCCAAGTCCTCTCCTCCACAAGCTCCCTGTGTGACCTTGGGTAAGTCATTTAGCCTCTCTGGTTCATTTCTCCATCTGCAAAATGGGGCTAATACTTCTCTACCTCACAGAAGAATTGTGAAGATAAATACATTAAATATTGTGAGGTGCTCAGATACTACCGTGATGAGGGCCATATAAATACTTTAGATATATTATAGAATTTTTTTCTAGACTTTTTTCTGGTAGAAAACATAAGAATTAGGGTACTACCAGAGGTATGAGCTAGAGTTATACTAGGAAACTGAACCATTTTGGAAAATTATTTTCAACAAATTACTTCGAGCTGGTGTTGAAAATGATTTAAGACCATGCTGATGAGTCAAATCCCTTCAGAAAGCATGTTACACAAATGCAGAGTGGAGCACCCAAAAGTAAGGAAATGCTAAAATTAAATTTGCTTGTGAAACCTTAACTCTGCCTTGTTTACACTCGGGAACTGAACTGTTGCAACTTAACGGTGCAGTGCATCAACACTAACCCTTCTGGTTTGGGTGCAGTTCTCCTCTGTACTAGATGCACTGCTGTTTATGAGCTACCTATTCCTCAGGTGCTGGACATGATGCACAATTTCCCACAAAGTAAGGTGTTAGGACTGTCTAAAGGAATTATGGGAGATGGGTCAAATCCTATAACTCACTAACAACAGCAATCTGTTTTGGCATCTTGTCCCAAAACAGAGAGTGCACTGGAGGTTCAGAGCATTTCTATTTGTTCAGAGAGCCAGATTTGTTCTTTAAGAGCTGAAAATGCAGAGCCAGCTTTCTGCAGAAGTTTGAAGGTGGTTAGGGTTCATATTTCAGTAGAGCACCAAGGTCACCAGAGAGTCAGAACAGAATCCATGAAATTTATTTTGCTGCTCCTGAGGAGATGCTCCAGCAGAATCCACCTCACATGACTGTAACTGACTCTGAGCGGGCCCTGTTTGACAGGGACCTGTACTAAGCTTGAGGGATCAGATTACTGCTGGTGGGGGCTTGGCAGAGGGCAGGCTATTTGGTTTTTTTTTTTTTTTTTTTTTTGTGTCACATCAGGGGATGTGAGGAAGGGTCCTCAGTGTCTATTGAGGAAACTGAGTTGAAGTAAGAGAGGGACTTCTGCCCTCACTTGTGACTGTCTGCCTGTTCCTTAATAGCAGTGGCAGTGTTCATGTAGGCCTAGCCCTTGGCCATGCAGAAAAGTACAAATAATACATGGCATAATACATACCTTGTGTAGATGGCTCCCCATCTCGCAACGGTCCAGAAAATGCCTCTGATACCTCCTGTGACATATAGGTGCCCTCTCCTTCCTCTTTGAGCTTTAGTGTTGTCAAGGATCATTTCAGTCTCCATAGACATCCAGGAACTAGCATCTGTTCAAACATATGAAGGTGCAGCTACCAGCCTTGTTTTGATGCACCTTCAAGCCCTTAATTTTCTCTTTGTACTGCTGGGCCAGATACGAATTCACCTGTCAAAAGCAATGGTGTGTTGAATAGTCTGGGTTACCTGGGAGTGGATCCAACCATTGTTCAAGATCTGAATGAGTGTCCTGGGATCTACCTTGGGTCAGCTGCTAGCACAACTGTAGGATAGCTTCTGAGAAGAAATTATCCCAGATCCAAAAGCAAACTGAGTACTGGAACACAGTGATCTTGAAGAAGAGTCTGACTTTAAAAGTGCGGGATATGGGACTAGAGGTATGTACATGCCACTGTGTTCAATGAGGGACTTCTAGAAGACTTGAACCCTAGGGTCAAGTGGCCACAGAGTTCAGAAATTTGACCAGAAGAGCCACTAAAAAGTTACGCAGTTGCTCCGCTGCTGCTATAACTGCAACACCAGCACGTCCTGTCTTCACCAGCACTATAGAATGACCCAGTGCAGGGGCATATGGTGATGCTTGGACTTGCTCAGAACAGTTAAAACAGTAGCATGAACTCCCATTTGTGTTGTGTGTGGGACACAAAGTATGTTACAAGTATGTCAGGTGGTTACACTCCCAAAATGCTGTCAGGTAGAGATTGCTGTTAAAACTTTCTTCCAATCAAAATTCAGTCTCCTAGAGTTGACAGAGTTAAGGCTTTTTCTTTCTCTTCCTTCTTTGATTCTGTGGGGACACTGATGTAATAATGAAGTAGAATACAGCACTAATTGGATTTAGCCAAATTACCTCCTCATTCTGTCCTTTTCTTTTTCTCTCCAAATGGGCTGAATGTAAACACTCTAGGCTCCTAGATCCAATAATAGGGAGAGGTTTGTAATATGCAACACAGTTTCAGCTGCAGCTAAGGTGTTTTCACTTCCAATTTTAATTTAAAAACAATGTCTTTTCATGTCTTCTCCAATGTATCTGTCATAATAGAAAACTAAAGTTAATAGCAGCTCAGCCATGGGTGAATGTAAAACGGCGCTGACTCACCACCGTGGTGCCTGCTGCTGGTCAGTCTAGGAATTAGCTCTTTCCAGCCTCAGAGCGCCTCCTGCTGGAGGGTGTCTTCCTACCGGTATCTGCTTCCTGGTCTCCACCACTATACTTCAGGCCCCATGTCCCTCCCAGCCCATGGTGCCCCTTCTCCTGGGTACTGCCCTGCAGCAGTACCCTCACACTCAGGGTTCTCCCCTCCCTGGGGAACCCCAATCCCTTAAACCCACCCCACCTCAGTGACCCACTGCCGGTCTTCATCTAGCCCCTTCCCTCAGGGGCAAACTGCAGTCTGAAGTGACCACTCATCATCGGCAAGGGGGTTGGACCTGCGTCTTCCTCCCCTGGCTGCTTCCCCATAGCCCTAGTACCTCCTCCAGCCCTGAAAGCCAGGCCTCTGTGTGGGGGTTTGCCAGGCTGGAGCTTCCCCAGCTCCTCCTGCCCTTCCCCAGCACTGCACTGTCCAAAGTACCCTTTTCTCCTTCAGGCAGCCAGGTCTATCTCTCTCCAAGGCTGGAGAAAGACTGACTGCCTTCTGTCCCGGCAGCCCTTTTATAGGGCCCAGCCTGGCCCTGATTGGCTCCCAACCCTCTCCAAGGGCTAGCTTTTAACCCCTTCTAAACTGGAGTGGGGTGACTGCCCTGCTACAGTGAAGCATTCTTGAAAGCCATGGCTCTGCTGTCAATTTCTGTTTTTTAAAATCAGCAGGAGGAGTTATTTCAACGTGGTAGCAGCTTTTAACAGCACTTCACCTTCAGCCAAACCACTATTAATTCTTGACTCTAATGAAAATCATTCACAGGGAAAGCTTAATAGTATCCAGGAACATTTTTATGGAAAAGAAGGGACACAGCTTTATTAACAATATTACTGTACCTAAAAGAGAGAGACCTTGTCAATCTGTTTGCCTGCTGTGACACTATCACTCAAGGATAGGACAGACCAAATTATGGGGCAATTACTTCCATATGTCATCTATAACACTGCTTCCTAAAGAGGCCCCATCCATGGACTCTCTACTGTCACATACTGGGAGCCAGCTTTCTGGTAATGGGTCAATCAAACTCCCGTGTAGCTCAGTCTTATGTGAAACTGAGCTATTATCACATCGATTGGAAGTAGTGGGGCTTTACCTTACAGATGCTACCCCTTTCTATTCCCCCCACTACATGCACGGCTGAGTATCAGGTAGTCACCAACCCTACTAATCCTCTGAAACCCTCAGAGCTAACTTCTGCAAAGAATGTATGCTATCACAATGGCAGAGAAGATTTGCAGCATATGCTATGCAGCCATTAGTATTATGGTAGTGAGGAGAGGCCCCAACAGAGATTGGGTCTCCACAGGCTAGGCCGGAGACAGTCCCTGCCCCAAAGTGCTTACAGATTAAATAGGCCAGACAGTCAAAGGATGCAAGGAGAAACAGAGGCATGGAGCAATGAGATGAAGTAACTTGCCCAAGGTTACACAGCAGGTCGGTGGCAGAGCTGGGAATAGGACCCAAGTCTTCTGACTCCTAATCCAGAGCACTGCCCACTAGACTACAAAATTGTATCAGAATCACACCAGGCGAATACAGCACAGAGTGAAAAAATAACATGTGAATGCCAGATAATCCAAGTAATTCTCCTCCCTTCCCCCCACAAACTTGATACTAGATACAAGTACACAAAAGATACAGGCCTTCCCTATGGTTATCCCTTTAGAGCTAGGTTGTTGTGAGTTATCTCAAATCAGGACATGTAGTTCCCCAAGCAAAGCCGATTGCTGCCTTGGCAAGTAGTTTCCAAGTGTAGGTCCAGCTGGGACCTGGAACCTCCAACCCAATGAATTGCAGCCCAGGGACCGGACCTTGGTTACAGGTGAGGGGCAACTTTGTGTGGCCCCGTGCAGTTGAGCAGAGTTCTCAGGAACCGCTGAGAGTAGCAAAGCCAGAACTAAATGTGTCTCATTTAAAGACGGTGAAACTGATAGCAGCATGTGATCCATAATGTCTGTCTCTGTGTAAATCAGCAGGAGCCATATAAACAACAAGGGAGTGATGAGCATAATTAAGGCTAAGATTTTGTCATGGATATTTTTTGTGAAAGTCACGAACAGGTCACGGGCAATAAAGAAAAATTCACAGAAGCCTGTGACCTGTCCCTGACTTTTACTAAATATATCCATGATAAAATGGGAAGGGACTGGGCAGCTGCGGGGTGGCTGGGATCTCTGGGTTCCCCACCACCCGTGGGGGCTCAGAGCTCCAGGGTCCCCCTGCCAACAGCAGCAGAGGGGAGCTGCAGGATCCCCCTGCCCCTTCCCCAACAGTGGGGAGCACTGTGGGAATCCCCCTGTCACCGCTGCAGTGGGGAGCTGTGGAGGTCTCCCTAGCCCCCATGGTGGCCGGGGACTAAGGGGCTCCCCCTGCCCCCACCCATGGCAGCCAGGGAGCTGCAGGGGTCCCTCTGCCACCATGGGTGGTGGGGGACTCTGTGGTCCCCATGTCCCCCGCAGCAGTGGGGAGCTGCGGGGTACCTCCCACTGCCCATGGTGGCTGAGAGCTTGGGGGCCTGCTGCCTTAGGCAGCTGGGGTACCTTACTGCTCCCTGCCGCTGTGGGATGCAGCGGGACCCTGCAGTTCCCAGCCACCAGGGCTGAAATCACGGAAGTCTTTGGAAGTCAAGGGTTCCATGACTTCTGCCACCTCCACGACAAAACCGTAGCTTTAAACATAATCTCACAGACCTTGAAGATTGTAACTCAGAATCTAGATTGTGATAACAACCTCTATCATTGTTCAGAACAGGAATATTTGTAACCTATTGGTTTTATTTATACAACTGCAGGGTTCCTTAAATCAGCTTCTTAAACAACTAGAAGAGGAAAAGAGAAATCTCCAGAACCAACTGAAGGATTATGAGCTTAGACTGGAACAAGAAGCAAAGGTCTGTTACTTCCATATCCATCTAACCAGCCCTTTTTAGAAGCTGTTATGCTGTCTGAAATGTCTAAATCATTGGTGTAGAGAATGTAATGATTCCATGAAACATAAAATGAAAAAGTCCTGGGGTGGTACGTATGTTTGTTCTTTCCCTTTTGATTAATCATGTTAATTGTTTTGTTTGATTGTAACCATTTACCCATTATTTTAAAATGTAGGCTTACCATAAGGCTAATGATGAACGGCGCATGTACCTAGCAGAGATCTCACAGGTAAGTAACAAAAACTTTTCAACCTAATCATCTTTTTCCTCCCAAGCTGGTACTTGAAGATCATTACTGTTTAATTCTTTATTTTTCTTTATCTTTTCTCCTTCATACAAATCTGAGTTTTATTCCAGCCAAGGAAAGCCAGGCATAGTTCCTTTCAGAGCCAGGCCTCAGTTAGCTGGAGCGATTGCTAGAAAGTGATGGAAGTCTTTTTGTCGTGTCTTCTCTCTCTGTCTGCCACTTTACACTAGACTTCTTGACTTAAAATTTCCCACCCATTATATTGCTGGTGGGAGACAAGGCATGATGGCTAGTGGAGCTTTAACCATTATAAAGTCTAGCCCTCCTCTGAGCAGAATAGGGTGGCACCGAGGTTAAAATGCCAGCAGACAGTCTATACCTGCACATCCACTGTTACTATCATGGGTAGAATTGAGCTGGTGGCAACAATGGTGGAAAGTCTTAAGAATAAAAGTCCAGTGTACCCATCCTATCGAAGGGCTGACTACACTGCCCCTATACAGCATCTAGTCCCTGCTGACCCAGATGTAAAGAACTAAGCTCAGGTCTTATATACTCAGATTCCTGTATTGTAGTATGTTGTACAGTTCTTAAGATAGTTCTTGGTCTGACTTCAACTTTTTTTTTTAAATATAATAATGCATGTTCAGCCAAAGCATTGTTTTTGCTAAATATATGCCATAAGAACGACCATCTTGGGTCAGACCAAAGGTCCATCTAACCCAGTATCCTGCCTTCCAACAGTGGCCAATGCCAGGTGCCCCAGAGGGAATGAACAGAACAGATAATCATCAAGTGATCCATCCCCTATCGCCCATTCCCAGCTTCTGGCAAACAGAGGCTAGGGACACAGTCCCGACAAGGGTGACAATGACAAGGTGACAAGGGTCACCATGTATGGTACAAGAGGTCACCATTACCAGGTGACGTGTCTTGAGACCACATGAAAGTTTCCCTAAATGTGCTAAATACAGGTTTTTCCAACCTTTATTAGAAGACAAGCTCTGCTGAGCCACTTGTTCTTGATAATGTCATATTAACTGTCATAGTCAACACCAGGGGACCACTGTGCCATCTAATTCTGTTCGGAGCATTGGATTGATTTGTCTAGGGTTGACCATGAACACAGCCACCGAACACTTTTACACACCATGGAGCCCTAGTGGAGCAGTGCAAAGTCCCAAATGCACAGAGATTGTGACAGCTGGATGTGTTGATCTGTTGATTTAAATAAAAGCATATTAGCTCACTGTAAGGTTTTGCATTAGTATGCAAGTTTGAAGTTGGAGTACATATTGCTTTTGGGTATCTAATGGAGATGGAAGTAAGAGCCTTATTACTCCTGGAGGTTTTCTGGACGTGCCTGCAGAAAATGCCCCCCCTCCTGCAGAATTCCTGTGCTTCCCTGCAGAAAACGGCAGGGAAGCTGCACGGGGGGAGGGAGGCTGGGCAGGCAGGTATGGGGAAGACCATGGGCACAGGTTTTGGGGGGGGGGTAGGATTCACCTCCCAAATAGAGGCAAGGCATGGGAGCGCACACAGGGTTACATGCAACTTCCCCCCACCGCATTTCTGCAAGCGCAGAGCTGCCCAGTTGAAGGAGGCTGTGTCTCGTCTCCGCTGACTCTGCAGCTGAACGCCCTCTCCTGAGTCCTAGTGCCAGTCGGGCTCCCCTTCTGTGTGCTGGGAGCCTTCCTGTTTTCTGTGCAACAGTGAGTGCCCGTGGTGGGGCTGGGAAAGAGGGGGCAGGGGAAATGAGGGAAGGGGGGTGAGGGGGTGGAAGGAAGAGGCAGTGAGGAAGGAAAGGGGTTGAATAGGGCAGAGGTAGGGTAATATGGGAGTGAGGGGAGGGAGTTGAGGCATGAGGCAGTGGGGGAGGGGGATGAGATGGGGAAGAAAAGGTGATAGGGGAATCGTGGGAGGAAGCGGGAGCCCAACATGCGGCTTCCCCTCGTCAGCAGCTGGAGCTCCCCCGTTAAGCAGGCCCATCGAACCCTCACCCTGATACCTACACCTGGGCACCCCCCTCATTCCCCGACAAGCCCCCTACACCCAGACTCCCATCCCACTGAGCCCCAACCAGCTGCACCTGGACTCCCACCCCATCAAGCCCCACTCCCCCAGCAACCAGACCCCCACACTGAGCCCCCCACACCCAGAACCCTCCCTGCTGAGTCCCTGTGCATCCAGATCTCTGACTGAGCGACCCACACCCAGATTGCTCCACACAGAAACCTCACACCCCACACCTAGATCCCCCCCACACTAAGCCCTTCCACAGATCCTGCTGGGCTGAGCCTGCCCATTCACACTTGGTGCAAAGGGGCAGGGCTCCGGATGTTTCTGAGGCAGGCCCGGCCCTTGCACTGTGTCAGGGTTGGGTGCAGCTTCACTGCCGAGTCCCTGTACTGAGGGAGGTGAGGGCTTCAGGGTGATCTCCCACCTGAATGCAGCCAGTGGCCTGTGCTCCACACTGCCATGCTGGACCCACATTTATTTGTTGACAAATACAATTTGCAGAATTTTTCAGAATTTTAAAATATTGCGCGCATAATTTTTATTTTTTTGGTGCAGAATTCCCTCAGGAGTACCTTATGAAGCACTGGAGCGTGTTGTTGACAGCATTGTAGACAACATGAAGGTGGAAAGGAATGCAGGATATTTTCCCTTAACTTCTTTTTTCCATACTTGTAAGGTTTGGGTGAATGGGGTATGTCCTGTTACACCCATAACTGTCACTAAGCAGTTTTTGTTTGATATTATATTTAATCTGACGATGTTACCAAATCTTCAGTTTTTTGTTTTCTACTGATTTTATGCCTTGGTAGATGTATGCAGTGGTGTAGCTGTGTCAGTCCCAGGATATTAGAGAGACAAGGTGGGTGAGGTAATATCTTTTATTGGATCAACTTCTATTGCTGATAAAGGTATTACCTCATCCACCTTGTCTCTTGGTAGATGTAATAAGTTGTAAAATTTGTCATGGGAAGGTTATGACAGCAAGGTAGTGAAAAGTGGAGACATTTGATACCTGAGAAGCGATAGAAGATGGTTTGGTGTACTGGCACCTTATGGGGATAGTTGAAGCACTAAACACCAGGGAAAAAGCGAAATACTGCATCTCTTCACCGCTCCCGCATGCCAAGGATGGAGCTGACTTGACATTTTGAGGGGACAGGAGAAGCTTGAACTCCTAGGTCAAGATTTTAAAACCTGGATGTCTAAATTTAGGCTTCTGGAGCCATATTTAAATACCTCAATGAAAATGTCCTGATTCTGATTTTTGGAAGTACTGAGCACCCACGTTAAAGTTAATGGCCACTTTTACTTTGTTGACGAATGATAGATTTAAGAGCTTAACTTTGGGCAACAGGTTTGGCATACTCACCCTAGACCTGACTCCAGCAATCCTTGATAGAAACCAGTGTTCACACTATTAGAGCTGGTCAGGAATTTTTCGATTCAATCCTCTTTTGGATGAAAAGTGCTGATTCATCAAAATAGAAACTGTTTGCAAAACCAGGTCAGGTTTCACAAATTTCCCAACTCAAACAAAGTAGAGGAAAAATATTTCAAAATTGTTGAAATGTTTAGTTTTAATGTTGTTTTTTTTTAAATGAAAAATTCTGATTCTGGTTTGAAATGATTTTTTGTTATTAAATTTAAGTCATTAGACTGAAAAAAGGTTGAAATTGAAACCAAACATTTTGATTGATTCGGGGAGCGGGAAATTGTTTGGTTGGGGTCTTTTTTGGTTTGTGAATATTTTCAAGATTTCTACTCTTCATCTTGATTCAAGATGGGGAATATATTTCAGATTCTTTAAAAATGTTTGTGGGACAGGAAAACAGTTTCCTACCCAACTCTACCCATTATCCCTGCTGTAGTATTCGCTATTGTGTCCAACACTGATGAGATTACTGTGTTGTTGTAGTTGGTTGTTTCTGCTGAAATGAACAGAGCAAAATAGTGAACAGTATTGACCATAGACTTCAGCATTAACTTCCCTTTGAGATGAATTGGCCATTTCACACCTTTGAGTTATTGTTGTCATCTGTCTGCAGGCTCAGGATGACAATACAGTTCACATTCCGAAGAGGTTCACAGTAGTAAGGGCAAGGTCTTATTGTTTTTCTAAAATGAAAGATAGATTTTTATAGCATAGTTGGATTTATTCTGCCACAAATTATGTTGCTGTGGAATTGTCAAGGTTCCTCCCCCACTCTGAACTCTAGGGTACAGATGTGGGGACCTGCATGAAAAACCTCCTAAGCTTATCTTTACCAGCTTAGGTCAAAACTTCCCCAAGGTACAAAATATTACACCCGTCGTCCTTGGATTGGCCGCTACCACCACCAAACTAATACTGGTTACTGGGGAAGAGCTGTTTGGACGCGTCTTTCCCCCCAAAATACTTCCCAAAACCTTGCACCCCACTTCCTGGACAAGATTTGGTAAAAAGCCTCACCAATTTGCCTAGGTGACTACAGACCCAGACCCTTGGATCTTAAGAACAATGAACAATCCTCCCAACACTTGCACCCCCCCTTTCCTGGGAAATGTTGGATAAAAAGCCTCACCAATTTGCATAGGTGACCACAGACCCAAACCCTTGGATCTGAGAACAATGAAAAAGCATTCAGTTTTCTTACAAGAAGACTTCTAATAAAAATAGTAGTAAATAGAAATAAAGAAATCCCCCCTGTAAAATCAGGATGGTAGATACCTTACAGGGTAATTAGAGTCAAAAACATAGAGAACCCCTCTAGGCAAAACCTTAAGTTACAAAAAAGATACACAGACAGAAATAGTTATTCTATTCAGCACAGTTCTTTTCTCAGCCATTTAAAGAAATCATAATCTAACACGTACCTAGTTAGATTACTTACTAAAAGTTCTAAGACTCCATTCCTGGTCTATCCCCGGCCAAGACAGAATACAGACAGACACACAGACCCTTTGTTTCTCTCCCTCCTCCCAGCTTTTGAAAGTATCTTGTCTCCTCATTGGTCATTTTGGTCAGGTGCCAGCAAGGTTACCTTTAGCTTCTTAACCCTTTACAGGTGAGAGGAGCTTTCCCCTGGCCAGGAGGGATTTCAAAGGGGTTTACCCTTCCCTTTATATTTATGACAGGAATATACAGGAGCCTATAATACAAATTGGAAGTTACCTTGAAAGCTTTACGTTATAACACCTCTTATTCTGAAAGAGATCTTACTTCTTAAATAATATAAAAGTAGTAGGTTAGCATGATACTCCAGAACTCTGTGCAATGAAGTGACTGTCATTGAATTGCCAGTATAGCGAACTGGAGTGAAAGGTTGTAATTAGCAGTGTTTCCATGTGTTTGCACAGCAGGCAAGTGGTTCACTGTGCGTAGTCATTGCTGCCTTAGGGAATGGAGGAAAATTGCTGAAAACAAATTTGCCGTCTTAGACCAGTAAATGCTGATGAATCTGGGGCTGGAAACATGAGGACACTGTGGGAGGAAGACAGTAGTAAGTTAGGAAATAGTGTTGTTATGTCAGAACATGGCTAATGAGTGTAGATTGTTCTTTTTAGTTTTCAGAGTAGCAGCCGTGGCTAACCAGATGTCCGGATTTTATAGGGAAAGTCCTGATTTTTAGGTCTTTTTCTTATATTGGCTCCTGTTACCTCCACCCCATCCCGATTTTTCACACTTGCTATCTGGTCACTCTAGTTCTTTTGTACTTAAATCATTTAGGCCACTGTTCAGCAAGGCACTTAAACACATGACTAACTTTAAGTACATGGTAATTCCATTGCTTCAAGTTCGGCATGTGCTTAAATACTTTGCTGAATTGAGACACTGGAAATAGATTCTGCCACACGTGCTGTGCTCATTTCTTGAGTAATTCCACTGATGTCAAAATCAGTCATGGATGGAAAAATCTGGCACATTTTTTTTCAATTCTATTAAACAACCCACTGTCGTAGAATCTGTTTTATGGATTTGGCAGAGGCTGAGGTGAAGCGGGAATTACCAGTCATGGATGACTAAGCAATATTTCCATACGTATTGAGGCAAATGTAGCAGCAGAGAAACCATTGTTCTCTCACAATCTATTCCATAGATATTCTCTCTCAACTATATAGCTGTAGAGGGTTCCATTTTGTTGTTTTTCCTGTCATGTTAGCTTTCCCCTGTGTGCTTCGTAAATCAAATGCAATAGAACCTTTTTTTCTTATTCATAGTTATTTAAAATACCAGCATAGTGACTGCATTTCCTGAGAATATTCTTATCCCTTGTTTGAGATCACCCCTGTAGCCTTCAGTGGGAGTGGAGGGGGGGGAAGGAAAGGCGGCAGTTCAGAATAATAGTTTCTTTTAAATATCTTATTCTTGTTACCTTGTGTTTTTTTTCCAAAGCATATTCATCTTCTAAGTGTGTTTATTTGTTTATGTTGTCCAGTTTCATAAGGTGTTACTCTTTTTTTTTTAAGTGATACAGTTAAAATAAATGTAAAGGTTTCACAAGATTTAGTATTCATCCAAAAGACATTACTTTTTTTTTTTTCATCGTAAAAGACTGGTTCCCAGACCACATGCTATGGAACACTGATGGTCAGTGGAACCTTTCCTTGTGGCTTGCAGAATGCAATATTTTGAGAACCAAGCAGTGGGGAAATGGGATAGGTCTTCAAGAGAACCTTTTTCTTAAAGTGGTACAAAGAATTAGGAAAAAAAATTCAAAAATTATTTCTCATAAGTCAGTGTCTTTAGTAGAACTCCCCGGAAGCAGACGATTTAACTGCGCTTTCCAGAAATTAAATCCAGGCAGCTCTTACTCTGTCTTTACACGTATATTCTCTGAAAGTGTCTTTGTTTGAATTATAGTAGGCTTTACTAGTACAGTGCTAGTGAGAGTAGTTGTCTAACGCAGTACATACATGGAAGCACATTAGAAACCAGTGTATTTGTTATAACCAATCACAGATGTGGTTCCTTGCTGTGCTAGGTTTCTTTTCCCTCTCATGAAGAATGCATTCACATACTTTAAAACATAACATTAAGATTTAAAAATAATCCAAACCATGTGCTTTGTTTAAATGGCATCAAAGAGATCCATGGCTCCGCGCTTTTAGAAGAAGTCATCTATGGCTCCCTAGTGTGACCAGCTGCCTTGCTTTGCCTTATGCTCCCCTCTGTGGGGGCTCTGTGGGTCTGGGAAGTTGGCAGGATTGTGTCAGTTTTCAACAAGCACACCCCAGCCCACCAGCCACAGAAGCACTAAATTACTGCAAAGTAAGCCTGAATAATTTTACGTTGCTTCCCCCTCCATTCTATGGAAATCCCTACAAGAGGATGTTTCTGGGGTGACAGTTGGACATGAGCCTGGAGGAGCTCTGTACAAGGGGGCAAGAGAAATGACAATTTAAGTTCTCCCCACATTTTTGCTTTTTATTACCACAGTTTTTTTATAACTGCTTCTTGGATTTTATATATCACAGTATTGTAGTAATGCTCTCTAGAGGCAGCAGGGAAGATGTAAATGCTTCATTCTTCTTACTTAATAATTTCATAATTCCAACAGCACAACAAAATCATCTGATGAAGTGAGCTGTAGCTCACGAAAGCTTATGCTCAAATAAATTTGTTCATCTCTAAGGTGCCACAAGTACTCCTTTTCTTTTAACAAAATCACTAAAACTGTCATTATTCTACTTTTCCCTTACTGGATAATACATAGGGGGATATTGCTTGCAGATTGAAAATAAGGAATTCCTGTCCTAATTAGTAATAAATGGATTCAAGTAATATAGTCCCTGATTCAACAGAGAACTTAAACATGTGATTAGGTCTTGTTGATTTCAATGGGACATAACCTTAAGCATGTGCTGTGCTTAAGCATGGGCTTAAATTCTTTGCTGAATCAGGGTCATTGTGCTTGTCTTTTCAAAATCAATGTGAGGAGAATTTTTGCTTTCCTAACATATATATACTTGAAGGATAACTTGCTGTATCAAAAATTTGACCATTGCAGACATCAGCTACTCTTAAAATTGCTGAGAGGCAGAAAACAGATGCAGTGCAGATCAAGAGGGAAAACCAAATACTGAGGTAAATCTTTCATATTCCCTCCATTTTCTGACTTAATACATTTATCTAAATACTCTCCCTTGACTATCATAGCCCTCTATGCAAGATAAAGATTGTTGCAGATAATCTTACTGACAAAATATTGATGACCGTATCACACTTATTACTGATTTTAAATCAGCTTATTACCTAACTATTACCTAGACTATTACAGAACAATAGTACAGTACTCATACAATGTAAGTGGCCTTTGTGGAACCTCACAGAAGATTTTGGCATCCTTCCATATAAACCTCAGTCAAAAATAAGCCTTTTTTCTAAGTCCGCTCTTACATTCTCCAGTCCATTAACAGTAATGTAATTAAATGCTCAGCCTGGTTCTTCTCAGTCAATAGAGATTGTATAGCTGTCTAGTAGTGGATGCGAAGGTGAGTAATTTTAGATGACCTCAGATTAAGACCTAATTGCTTAATAAATCAAAGCCAGTTTTTAGTTATACAGGTGCAAAAGAGTTTCCCCAAAAATGTTTAAATGTGAAGAGTGCCAAGCTGTTTGGGGGAATTTAGAACATAAAAATGTGTGTTTGGGCTGAGCTCTGATAAGCCAAGTTTCAAATTGAAGCTGATTCTTTACTGAAAATGGAAACACTAACAAATCCTTAACTATATCATTGCAATTGAGCCATGATACAAATTGAGAACAGCTGTCCCATCATTGGATTATAAAAGCTAATTGATATGAAAAATAGTTTTTCCACCTGTTTTCTATTTTAACGTCTCACTCAGGACATGAATAAGATATATTCTGCAATGTTAACTATATTCACTGATTCCCACTCTTTGGTCTCATGGTGAGAGTTCAGTAGATTACTGTTATTAGAGTAAGGTTTAATGTCTGCTACTAAGGATTCTTAAGATCAGACAAGCATTGTGTGGCTCTTAAATACTTAATATACAGCCTCTAGGCTGTTTCTGGCTCTGGCTGTGTTTTTATATAGCTCCTGTAAAAGTGGCCAGAGAGGGCAGAGCCAGCATGTTTCTCCCTTACTCCCTATGGAGGGACTAAGGAAGCCAGTAACAGCCAGACATTGAATACCGGCTGAATAGTAGCACTGTTCTGTGGGTTTTAGACCAATATTTATTTGGAAGTATTATGATAGTTGCTGTCTGTAATTCTTTTTATATTAGACAAAAACTACTTTCCTGTAGTTGTTGTTCTGGAAAGGTACGTGTTGCAACAGATTACCACTGTATCACCTCCTCCTCTCAAAGCTGATAGTTTTGTAACCTTAGTCAGAACTTTACTTTGCGCACATGATGGGATTTCTTCACCTTTTGCTTGAAAGGAACTGACGGTTAGAGGCATTAGGGAGCACCTAGGTTGCACTGCATTGGCTTCTGTGGCCAACTGCTTAGAACTTTGAGCCTGGTGAGTTCCCCACCTCAGTCTCACCTGGCAGCTTATACCAAAGAGTGGTGATATGTCACAGTGTGTATCATCAGGAAGTAGCAAGCACAGGTAAGGAACTCCCTCAATGTATGGAGAATTTAACAGAGAGCCATTGTCTTTATTCCTCCATAAATACTACTCTGATGACTTTAAAGACTGGGAGCCTGAATCTGTTCTCGCTCACAGTGATGCAGATTAGAAGTAATTCCATTTAAATTCCAGAGTAAAACTATGCAATAGACTCAGGCCTTGAGAATAACCTCATAATTTCCTCTAGCAGCTTCTCATCTAATTTCAACTGATATTTCAAAGCTTTGTCTTCACTGGGTTTCAAACCAGATTAATAAACAATATCTAAACTTTGTTTAATCATGGTTGCTGGTACATTTTGGCTGGTTGTAGTGAATAGCCCAAACCACGTTACAATTATGATAAATATTTTGTATTCAGTGAACTAACGCAGTCCGTTTTTACTGGCCATCCAAACTGAATTAGAAGTCAGTTTAAATAGAGGTCCTTATCATGGTTCCTGGGTCAGCTCAGATGGGTCTTTAGACACTTGCACAACAGTAGAAAAACATGGGAACTGGAAGTGGGGAGAGGAGCGAGAGTGGTCTACTCAGCTCTGCGACAGCTCCTTTTTGATTACTGAGTAAGATTCAAGTCTTTGGCCCTGATCTTCAAAGCTTTAAATGGAAGCAGGCCCCATATACTGCTCATGATATTTAGAACAATGGAACTTGGCAACCTCAAAAATGAAACTAGTGGGCACTGGAGATGGCGCTTTCTTGGCAGCTTGTGCAGAAACCTGCAACTCATTCCCAGAACATATGAAATGATTGCAACTTTCACCACCGAACAATATGCAGAATATTTCTCCAGTCATCAGTGCACACACACATATGTATTGCATAGGTATGCAATTGATATATATTCCCTTCCTCCTTTCACAACTGGGTGAGAGAGAAACTGAAATGTTGTATGTTAGGCTATAGAAAATGCTTAAATACTGCAAGGATAAATAGAGAGATACTTAGCTATTTTGCATAATAGTAGAGAGATGCTGCCTGCATCCTCCTGAGAATGGCTTTGTGGATTTACTTAGTCACCTTTCTTCCCTTTGAAATTCTGTTCTGTAGTCCCTATAGATTAAGCCTTATAGATCCAAAAGTAAATAACTCCCCTAAGCTTTATAAAGTGTTGTTTATTCCCATGAAGTGAATGTAAACTTGTTAGCCAGCTACCAAAGTTTTATATGTAAGGGCATGGCAGTAAGAGCATGGCTCTCCAGAGGATACTGTCTGCAGAGCTCTAATTACAGGTGCAGACAGTAATTTCCGTGTCTTCATAGGGAGCATATAATTGGTGAAAATGTCTCCCCAGCCTGTTGCCTTCCTGTTTATACAAATGTTTAATATTCTCTTCATTTTCCGTTTAAATTTAATCATTTAAATAATATAAAGTTATTCAGGAATGATGAGGATTGGGATTTGTACACAGAATAATTAAATGCTCTGTTAACATCACACCCAGAAAGAAACTGTCTGTTTATTAATTAACTATAATAATCAGTTATTTCAATATAAAAAGCATGCCAATTTCCAGCAGTTCAAGTTTCTGGAGCATCATAGTGTAAGTGACATGTAATGACTAATCTTTCTGACTTTATTTCAGAAGAAGACATAATGTTCCAGAAAATCAAAGGATTCTGGATCCCAAAAAAGGACCAATTAAAAAGACTGCAGGAGTGAAACAACTTCCAAAATTAAAGCACTGACTTAATATTCTTACCAAGAACTTCCAATCACTTTTATTCTTATTTCTATATATTTAACTAAATGTTTCTGAAGAAAAATGTATGTACCACATTGATTTAGGACACATTCCAATAACAATAACTACTAATGAAGATCTGTGTGCCTCCTGGCAGCTTCAGAGGCTCCCTATTCTGAGGGAAAAGTAGCCCTCTATAATCCTGTGGAATAGCTCACCAAGCAGTTCCTGGGTGCCCTCTTAATGCTAGTGAAGTCTAAGCCTTCCCAGCCTGATTGCCATATGTGAAAACTGAATCAAGGAATCATAGGAATCAAGTTGGGTGACTCAGGGAATCACTTAAATGCCTTATGCTAGGCAGGTTCTTCCCCACTTTGACTCCACAGCCAGTCATTGAAAAAAATTTAAAGTTTCTGGTTTTAGAGCTCTCAACGAGGGAGAAGAAGAGAGGAGTGATGTGACCTGAAGAGTAATCCCACTACCTATACCAGAAGAAAAGAGTAATACCCCATTAGGAATAGCCACTTAGCACACAAGCTACTGGGGAAACTCCCTTGATTACTAGAGGATGGGAAAACGGATGGTTCTTTCTAGGAAGGCAACCACAATTTTCAGGCCAGAGAACTTCCCCAGAATAATTCCGACAGCAAAACATCCAATCTTGATTTAAAAATTGCTTGTGAGGGAGAGCGGCAAAGAGTCCTGTGGCACCTTATAGACTAACAGATGTATTGGAGCATAAGCTTTCGTGGGTGAATACCCACTTCGTCGGATGCATGCATGGTGAGGGAGAATTCACCATAATTCTTGGTAACTTGTTCCAATGGCTAATTACTCTGTGTTAAAAATTTGCCTTATTTTCTGTCTGAGATACTGCCTCCCCATTGGCTTATTGGCTTTCAGCTCGCAAACAATCAGGTTCTCGTCAGGTTCTCAGCAGCGGTTCTGGGGACAGGGTGCACCTATGGCATTGGGGAGGCAGAGCTGGGTGGGATAAAAGTGGAGTCTCTTCCCTGCTGGCATGACAGAGAGGCAGCCGGGCCAAACTTGACTGATCAGGTGACCTGGCACATGGGGTCACAAGACCACTCAAATTTGGCCTGCCCACTCCTTTGTCACACCATCAGGGGAGGGGCACCACTGTTATGCCACCTACCTCTGGTCAAGGGCCAAGCAGGGGGACCTGGGCCCCCCTTTATTGCACCCCTGGTTTCTTAACTCTCAGGTATCCTTTTTAAAAAAAAGCTCGGCCTGCTAGAGTCCAAGCTTGGAGTCAGTCTCTTCCTCCTATGACTATGCAGCACAGTTCCTCTACCCTTAGGGCTGTGCTATGTTCCATGAACTCGCTGGCTTTGGCAGGGAAGACAGATCAATTCTAGGCCTGGCCTGTAAATGACCGTGCTAAAAGGGATGGCTTCTGCAGAGCCAGTATCCACAGCTGTCAGCAGTTTGCATGGCTTGGAATTCCACTGCTGTTTTCAGCTGGGTAGGGCCCTTACTGTATAAACCAAAGTTTTAATGTGTTTTGCAAATGTCCCCAAATGAATATTGTTACCTAAAGATTCTTCAAAGTGTACCTATTGTGAATGAAGGGTTCTATCTTAAAATCCTATGTATATTTCTTGTTTGCTGGTGTATATATTTTAGTATATGAAATCTAAACTTACAAACTGATGTTTCCATCTAAGGCCCCGATCCTGCAAAGACTTCCAGTGTACTTCAGTGGGACTGCTCCCATGTATCATTGCAGATTTGCAGCCTAAGTAGTACCATACTTTTAAATTACTGCCCTGTAAATCACCGCTGAGGGATTATTTGAAGTATTTTGAATTATATCTTCAATCTTAAGCATGCAATTATTGTTGCAGTTTCTTTGCCAACATATTTCAGTAATTGAACTTTGGCAGGCTTTTTTTTTTTTTTTTTTTTTTAACTGCAGAATAGTGAAGAGAATGTTTTGGTATTTAAAAGTCAACCTTCTAGGTTAGATTTAAAAAGCACTCTTCAGAATAAATCTGATTGATGGACTCTTTTCATTTTAAGAGCTTCTGTAGCTCTTCACAGTGTTCATTAAAGCTTTTTGTCTCTTTAAGAGCAGTGCTAATAGCATAGTTTCTTATCAGTGGCAGCATTAAAGTGAGGCTGCAATTAAATTCATACAGAAAGAACATGATGTCATTGCTAAAATGCAAGAAAACAAGAACTGTAATGATATACAGCACATTCATTATGGAAACACCATTTCCTCATCTAGATTGAGATTTATAAGATATTTATACTGTTTCTATGATACAGCTGGTATGGTTCTTTAACAAGCAGACTGGTCTGTCTGACCCTTTTAGCCCCCCAAAACAGTTGAAAGCCTAGCACCGATGATTAGGTTAGCATCATTCTGTTCCAGTTTTTCCATATGGAAAGTTTTCAGATTCTGACTGTTCTGGCAATTGTCCTTGGCGGGGTGGGGGTGGTAACATAATGCTCCCATTAGCATAAAAGGTAAAGAACATCTGCTATAGTGAAGGTGATCCCATTCTTGGATACATTCAACAGCCAGGCATATTCTTTCATCTATATCAGGCGGTTGTAAGCATAGTCAATTGTGATAATTTTAATAGGCTTTAAGGAACTAGAACCCTGCACACTGATACAGGTGGAACAGCTGTTTGTGCTAACTCATCATTCATAGCACAGATTTTTTTCACATGTACCATGTGACTGGTCCTCACTGAGGACATACATTTGAAGTTTTAAAGTTCAATCAGTTTAGTTTTCTGCCTGTTCTGATGATGTGGAGGACTAGCAGAGTAGAACACTCTGTAAACTAGTGAAGGGAGGCAGAGGCTAAAAACAGAAACAAAATCTAACATTTTAAATCTAACATAGCAGTTTTCAAGTATAAAAGGTTGTTACAAGGTGAAGGGAGAAAAATTGTTCTCCTTAACCTCTGAGGATAGGACAAGAAGCAATGGGCTTAAATTGCAGCAAGGGCAGTTTAGGTTGGACATTAGGAAAAACTTCCTAACTGTCAGGGTGGTTAAGCACTGGAATAAATTGCCTAGGGAGGTTGTGGAATCTCGGTCATTGGAGATTTTTAAGAGAAAGTTAGACAAACAACTGTCAGTAATGGTCTAGATAATACTGAGTGCAGGGGAGTGGACTAGATGACTTCTTGAGGTCCCTTCCAGACCAATCAATTCTGTGATTAAGCTGCTTATTTAAGCCTTAAAACATTGGAGTTTTAGCAGGTTCTTTCTTTATCTATAAACTGTGGATTGAGAAATTGATCCATATAAACACACACTTTACTCTCAGCAGAGATGCGTTTTTGAGTTTCCATTTCTTCTCCCAGCCCTTTCGGACCTAAGAGCAATGTGAGGGACTAGAAAAGAAAATATTGTTTCTTTGTAAAAAGAGGGTTCCTTTTATTTCTGGCTGCAAGTGTGTCAGGTTTTTTCTTTTTACTTGAATTTAACTCTTGTACTGTTATTTTTTTTTTAACAGCTTTCCTGTGCTATGGTGTTTTGTTTGTTGGTCAGGTGCGGGGGGGTGTTGTTTTGGGTTTTTTAATTTTCTTGGTTTATTTTGTATGATTTATTCTTCCCATACTGTCCAACTCTTCTGTGTGGCTTTCCTTTCTAGTATTTTTCTCTGGATTAAAATGGCTTTGCTCACATTTGCATGAATGAATAATATTTGTACTTGTATTGCATCTTTCATATGAGAATTTCAAGGCATTTAAACATTACGTAATGCTTGCAATATACCCCATACTTCTCTATTATCCTCATTTTACAAATGGAAAACTGAAGCAGTGATTCAGGGCCTGTTTACACTAAGGATAAAACAAAAGTACAGTCTGGTTTACAATACTGTTGTGCCCTGATCCAATTATGTGATTCTATTTTGTGGTGTAACAAACCTAAGGTAGGTTCCATCACTGTAGAATTTAAGCTTAGAGTTTAGCTAAAGCTTTGGACACCCCAAAGATGCAGATGAGGCCACTGGATTCTGAATCTGATGCTATGATGAGGGAGCAAGTTGAGCTGAGGGTACAGACGAAGTCAGAATCAGAGTCCAAGGCTTGAACATAGTTAAAGTTTTGTCTGCACTACACCGTAGAATTAGGTCCCCAAACATGATTATTCTAATCCACTGACAGAAGGTAACCCAGGTAGTACCAAGCAATTAGATTTCCTGACTCCCTTAGCCCAGTATTACATAGAAGTTAACTCCAGTGGCTTCAGTGGATTTACTCTGATTAGCACCAGTGAACTGAGCACAGTCTTAGGCCCCCAGTCTTCCCCTTTTTAGCTTTAAAAAGTTGTCATTGGCACTTCAGATTCCAGGAGTGGGTAGACAAAGGGGTTTTTTGGTAACACCTGCTCCAGATTTTTAATTTGGGGTTTCTTAAAGCTGCAGCTCTTGGAATCAGAACCATAGCATTAGAAGACACTGCAAGGATCATCTAGTCTAACCCTCTGCCAAGATGCATGATTTGTTGTGCCTAAATGGTCCAAGACAGATGGCTATCCAGCCTCCTTTTGAAAAACTCTAGTGATGGAGATTTCATGACTTTGCTAGGCAGTCTGTTTCATTGTCCTACTGTTCTTACAGTTTGGAAGTTTTTCCTGAGATTTAATCTAAATCTGCTGTAAGTTAAACCTATTGCCTCTTGCCCTGCCCTCTGTGGCAAGAGAGAAGAATTTTTCTCCATCTTTCTTATGGCAGCCTTTCAAGTATTGGGACAAAAAGCTGAGCTGAGCCTCCTGCATGGAGCACTAGAGCAGCTTGGAAGCAGGCTCCCCTGCTCTGTCTCACAGTCTGCATCCAGATAGCGGCTGCTCAAGAAACATGAACACCCCAAGTTATTTCTCCCAGGCCCCTCCACTGGGGCAGCCCTCAGTGTGGGGAAGCCCAGTGAGCCCCATTCTGGCCTCAGTGCAGGAACACTGAGTCCCTTAATGCATGAAGCTGGAGCGAGCCCTGGCCCACCCTCAGTGTGGGGAGACTTGGGGCGAGTCAGTGAGCCACATCCTGCCCTCAGTGCAGGGACACTGAGTCTCTCAGCACAGGGAGACCCAGCAAGCCCTGCCCTCCGTGACATATATGGTGCTTGAGAAGATGAGGTCCCCGCATTGAAAAGCTTATGCTCTGTTAGAGACTAATAAGCTTCAGATGGGAGAAAACGACAGTACAGAAACTGGAAGGCTAAATTGGAACAGCGACAAACTAGGATTGGAAATCTAAGCAGAAGAAGTAAATCCTAAGCACGGATTAGGTCAACCAGTACAAGATCATCCCTATAGTATATATTTCTAGAACTGTGTCCAATCTTCTTTTGTTTTTAAATGTCCTACGCAATGCAGCATCCTTGGTTAGACTGAGGATTAGTTTTGCAGGTTCTTGCAGGAAACTTATCCTTACAACCTAAATGTCTGTGTCTGGTTTGGTGATGGTGGTTTGTTTTTAATCCTATTTCTCCAGTTACAACTCCCATACCACAATGCATTCCTCTGTATCCTGGTGTTCATAACCTTTCAAATAATTTGATTGGGATCTTGTTTGGAACTTCTAAACCTGTTGCCACAGTAACAAAACTGTGTATGTGGGAAGGGTTAGAGTTTTCTACAACCATCCCTGCCCTTTACAACTGCATTTGGAGATGTGTAAAATGCACTACAGCCTTCTCTGACACTAAATGTCTAACTTCTATGGGATTTGGCAAACCAGAGTCCAAAAATTGCTCTGAAACAGAGGTCATCGGCTGCCACCAGTCCTGTCAGATCTGTTCTGGTGGATAACGCTGACATAAATAACAACTCACTAAAATGTAGAAGTGATTTACTTTAAGCACTTTAGCACCTGCTGTTACTAATTACAGGATTATCATGCTCCAGATTGTAGCATAGGGAGTACTGTCTACACGCTACCTTTCAGTGGTGGGTTCCCTTAGCTATTCTCTCTCCTTTCTGACCTGCCAATCCCTTAATTTGTAAGATTTTACTTTTGAGTTGAAGCTACTAACTTTGGATATGGGATAGAAAATGGAATAATTAGTAGAAATGCAAAAATTATAGCAATCTACATGTTTAACATCCACATTGACTGCAGATTTAGATTTCAAATAGTTAATGCAATCGATAAAAGCCTTTTTTCAGACACTGATTTATTTTATTATGCAGAGTCATAATTAGGATTGTCACGGGTTCCCCCCGGGGTGCCACCTGGAACTGGGGTACCACTGAGCCCTCCTGACCAACCAGCCTGGGCTCCCTTTTCACTGTACTGCTGTGACAAGCTGCCAAGCCCTCTCCAGGCTTTAACCTGCACTTTTGCCAGCACACATACAGGTAGGGACACGCCCAGCTGCAGTTAAATGTGGGTGCTGTGACCAGCCCCTGCATGGAAAGGTTCCATCTAGGGAACTTCCCAGCTACTCAGACACACACCCTCTCTGGAGTGTATACCCAAAATTATACTATCTTGCGCTGCACAAGGAGCTGTACAGTGGAAGCTAATGAAATTTGCCCCCTTCCCTCAATGTGGAGAGGAATACATAACCGCTTTCTTCCCCGAGTTATGACTCCCACACACTGGTTTTAGACAAAGCAAAAACAAGTTCATTAACTACAAAAGATAGATTTTAAGTGATTATAAGGGATAGCAAACAGATCAAAGCAGATTACCTAGGAAATAAAAATGCAAACTAAGCTTAATATACTAAAGAGATTGGATATGAATAGTGATCCTCACCCTAAGTGATGGTACAAGCAGACTGCAGATTCTTAAGGGGCAAGGTGCACTTGTTTACAGCTTAGAATCCCCAGGTGTTCCATTCACAGGCTAAAAATCCCTTTAGCCTGGATCCAGCACTTCCCCCAGTTCAGTCCTTGTTCCTTGGGTGTTTCTAGGACTCTCTTTGGGTGGAGAGTCAGTGAAGAACCTTGATGTCACTCCCCTGCCTTATATAGCTTTTGCATATGGTGGGAACCCTCTGTTTCACAGCTTGGTTCCCATGCCAGTCTGTGGAAAAATACTGATATCCCAAGATGCAGTCCAGCACCAGGTGACCTGGTCACATGTTCCTGTAGCGTCACAGCAGCCATTACTCGAGGCTGTTTGTAGCATCCTTAGAAAGCTCCCCAGGTGGGAGATAAGCTTCTCCCAAGGCTTATTGTTCTCTCTAATGGCTCATTAACTTGAATGGGCACTTACCAGACAGCCATCTAGACTGAGAGCCTTTTGCCTAGTGGACGTTGCCCAGGAATAGCTACATGTGAAATAGATATATAGCCAATATTCATAACTTTGGATACAAAAATGATACATGCATACAAATAGGATAATCATATTCAGCAAATCATAACCTTTGCAGCAACATCTCACGTGACGTGTCTTGCATCAAATACATCATAACTGTCATAATCATATCATAATAATATCACTGTGAAGAATATGGGGTACAGTATAACAAGCATATCCTGAAAAAGTTGTCAAAGAAGGTAGAGATGGAAAAGATGTTATGTCCTTTAGTGCATGGCCTTGCTAATGAAGAATTTTTTCCTGAATTCCATTTCACAATGCTTCAATTGCAAAAATGGGGTTCCACCACTTCTCTTTAGGAGCCGGTTCCACATGTCTTGCTGTAAAATCGGTTTTGGGCTGATCAAGACAATTTTTTTCCCCTAGTTTCATTCCATTACTGCTATACCCCTTTGTGCCCTAATCAATTTCCATCTCTCCTTAATATTTTACAGTTTTATGGTACTTAAACCATTTTATTTACACTCTTTTTGCTTCTTATGTTACTTAAAAGTCTGAGCCTTAGGAAGATTTAATGGCATGTCTCTGAGCTTGAGCACTGGCCTTGTGACTCCTCAGTACCTCCTGGCCAAATATGTACAGGAGCCTGTAGCACCTTCTTTTCTTTTCAAGAGCTCTGTGCTCATGCAAGCATCATTTATGATGATGCCCACTGTGTCCTAAGTGCTTCTGAGATAGGAAAGAAGGAAAGGCTGCTGCCCCAAAGAGCTTGTTTTGGAATTGCTGCAGAGGAAGGAAATGGAAAGGAAAACCTCCTAAGAAGTAAAAGGACAGAAAGAACCCCAGTTTCTTTCCAGCCAAGGTCGTTTGACAAAAAATCCTTCTGTGGAAAGTGGAAACAAAAGTTGAAAATAGACTTTATTTTATTTTTTGACTATATTTTTAGACTTTGTCTACATTAAAGCTATAAATGGTTTACTCCAACCCAATTATAACATGGTCAAACAACGGCCAGGATTTACCTATGTCCCATCCACTCTAAACTTTTTGATCATGTTATAAAAAAGTCACTCAATTATTCCTGTTCAAACCTATTTAAGATAATGGGTGTGCACATATGTATTTGGGGCAAGATCTGGCCTACAGAATCTTTGTCTTGAAGTTTTGGGGGAAGAGTAATGCATTTTACAGGAACATTGTTATTCATTCTGGAGAAATTGAGACGTATTCCAATGAGTTGTCCTATAGAACAGTATCTGCAAAGGTTTCCTTAAGCAATACATTTTTCAGGACTACTTTAAGTCAAAAACTGTTGGAGGCAACATTTTTGCTTTTGACTTGTTTAGGGAG